AAATATCACTAAGGATGCCAATATGAACAAAAAACGCATCAGGCGAACGATATCAAAGGTATCTGATTCACCAAGAATTCTATCGTGGGACAAGGGACCGCGAGGGAGGGTCGGGAAGCAAGACACGCGCTCGTCCTGGACGTCAGGACATTCAACAAGGATATGAACGACTGTAAGAAGGACAATGCAGTTTGGAGAATAAAGAGCAGGGCGGCGCTGACTTAAGACGTCACTGAGGGACGGTTACTAACGAGACCACAAACACTTACGAACCAAAAAACTGCACCCTGCATGTATATACACTAAGGGTAACCCCTCTGTGTATACATTCCTGAATGTATACAGCGGGAGAAGAGTCTGCCTGAATATTTGCCTTTGGGGAAGAGTTGATCTCGTGCGTACGTGATACGAGAGCGTTAAGAGAAACATCTGAAGGCATGTCTGGCCAGCTGGTTGGTATATATGTTAAGAGGAGAGAGGTCCCTTGCCTCATGGGAGACATCTCCCGTCACGCAGGGTGCAGTCGCACCTCCACAGATCTCCAATATCATCTATTGATACTGGTAATGGCTCAGAAGGGCCACCACTTACGGGCTATTCATGCCCGTGCCACCTTTTGGGTGGCTTAATCTTCATCATTCATCGTCCCCTTGCCTCATCCAAGACCAAAATGTGCAATGAACATTGAGAGGAAGAGAATTTGTTGGTGAGCACAAGAGGAGTCTTGAGAGTGATAGTGACACAAGAAGCTAGTGTGTAACACTCTGGGGTAAATACAAGCAATGTTTGGTTAAAAATTTTGGGGTCAGTGTAATGTTGCAGAGACAGAGGAAGAGGAGGAACTGCTTTGTGGAATGAAGAAGTTGGTGGACAGAATATTTCGATTTTTTTTTTCAGGGGCAATTCCTGCATGGGCCCTGAGCCTCTGGCTGGCCCACTAAGTGTTTCTTGTTTTACTTAGGCAGAGTGTGAGTATTTATGACTCGTATGGTCGCTTCAGTAAGATTTTGTCCAATGGGTTTAACAACTTCTGCTCTGTTGAATCTTAAGTTGAAATCTTATTGAGCATTTCGATTTGACGGGTAGAAATTATGAAAGACGTCCAGACATTATCATGATTAGTTCAGACCCCTAACATGGTTAATTTAGACAGGAACATTACAAGTTTACAGTCAATATTTACCTGACTCCATCTGAGGACAACCCTCTATCTACTGGCCACGACGGGGACATCAAGTTAGCGGCTCGTCACCCATTCTGAGAATTTTTTCCCACTGGATTTTGAACAGCAGTAATGTCGTAACCGTTACGGTTTTGGCGGGAAATCGGTTCCATGGGATTATAACCCTATGGGTGAAACAGCATATTTTCTGTCCTTCACTGTGGCTTGTTTGTTGAGCTTGAAATCGTTGTTTCTGTGTTGCATTGTAGAGTTGACATACGGAGGCATAGTAAGATAACTTGGCCCAGTGTGATATCATCGTTCCCATTGATACTTGGCCCAGTGTGATATCATCGTTCCCACTGATACTTGGCCCAGTGTGATATCATCGTTCCCACTGATACTTGGGCCAGTGTGAGACCATCATACCCACTGATACTTGGCCCAGTGTGATATCATCGTTCCCACTGATACTTGGCCCAGTGTGAGACCATCATACCCACTGATACTTGGCCCAGTGTGATATCATCGTTCCCACTGATACTTGGCCCAGTGTGAGACCATCATACCCACTGATACTTGGCCCAGTGTGAGACCATCATACACACTGATACTTGGCCCAGTGCGAGACCATCATACCCACTGATACTTGGCCCAGTGTGAGACCATCATACCCACTGATACTTGGCCCAGTGTGAGACCATCATAGCCCACTGATACTTGGCCCAGTGCGAGACCATCATACCTACTGATACTTGGCCCAGTGTGAGACCATCATAAACGCACTGATACTTGGCCCAGTGTGAGACCATCATACCCACTGATACTTGGCCCAATGCGAGACCATCATACCCACTGATACTTAGCCCAGTGTGATATCATCGTCTATGCTCTAGAGAGGTAAAAGTTAGCTCCAAGGTAATGTTGCACAAACTGGTGTTTTCCGGGGTCTCGCAGCGGCGCCGCTGTGACTCTCAGTTTCTAACAATACAGAATTTGGAACAGGTTTGCATAATGTTTACCTGAGAGCGGTGTTCCTCCTGATAATACGTACGGAAGGTATCGAGAGGAAACTTCCCTGCTGACGAACCACTTCTCTCCCGTGGCTTTACCTCGGGGAATTTCTTCTGGGTGGAAATCCCTTAAGCATATTCGTATTTGTTTCTACTGCGGCGGCGACTCTCCGCTTGACACCTGGGTTAATTGTGACAAGCATTTCCTTCGACCTTGAATGGCACGAAACAGGTGGTGTTCGGGTCTATGGTATTCTTTTGTGGTTGTAGTTGGGTTTGAATTTGTTTAATTTTGGGGTATTTCCCGCCGCCAGCGTCATGGTATAGTGCATTTCTGGTTGTGTGGCGGGGTGAGGGGGCCGAGTGAGGGGGCCGAGTGAGGGGGCCGAGTGAGGGGGCCGAGTGAGGGGGCCGAGTGAGGGGGCCGAGTGAGGTGGCCGAGTGAGGGGGCCGAGTGAGGGGGCCGAGTGAGGGGGCCGAGTGTGGGGGCCGTGTGAGGGGGCCGAGTGAGGGGGCCGAGTGAGGGGGCCGAGTGAGGGGGCCGAGTGAGGGGGCCGAGTGGCCGTGTGAGGTGGCGGGTGTGACCCCATGAGGGCCCTGGGAACGCTTGCTGCGTGACTACCACTTCTTGCTTTGTAGACCGGAAATATTTGTTTTATCTTGTATTATAAAACTCGACAGTTAAGAAATAGACTTTGCTGCGTACCATTAATAACAACTCTTGTCTTTCACATAAAGATTCGAGCAGTGTTCAGTCAATAATCAATCCAGATTTACATGGTTTTTACTATTCGACTCAGGGAAAGTTCTAGCTCCTGGGTCCTGGTTTTAGAGACGATTATTTGGCTCACGAACTGAAAAATTTCTTGAGAATTGCTTCTTTCATTTTCTCTGATGGAAACGCACCTCTTAGACCAGCTGACCTAGACAGATGGCCACGGCCCCTCTGTCAGCTGGCCCCTGACTCACAGATGGCCCCGGCCCGCCCAACCAAGACTGGCCACGTGCTTCATAATCCAGCTGCCACCCGCCCCACACCTCTAATTATAGAGGAAAAACACATTACTCACAACAGATTACATTCAAACGTTTCTCGAAAATGTTTTTGCTCGCTTCTTATGTTTGCAGCGCACCTTTCTAGAAAGTAGCTTAGTCGATTAATACAGCGGCTGGGATCCTCTTGGACGTAGGTTCGAACCCTCGTCACGGCCCTTGTGGATTTGTTCTTTCTAGAAAGCTTCGTCCCCGTACTGGATATACAGATAGTGTCCATAGCCCCGGAACAACCTATCCTAGGGATAACTATAAACATTGTTTAACACAGTATAGTAATCATTTATCAGTAAGAACTCTGGATGACTCGCCCAGGATTCGAACTGATGACACTCAGGATCACCCCGAAACGTACACGGGTTACCTTGAGGTGGTGGTTCCGGGGCTTAGCGTCCCCGCGGCCCGGTCGTCGACCAGGCTGGTGTCCTAGTTGCTGGACTGATCAACCAGGTACTCTGACCACCTTACCACTGATCGCATGTTTAAGAAAATACAGTTTTTGATTACACAGGATGAGGAAACTTACGAATTACGTCTTTAGTGACGACATGGCTTCGTTATGGTTGCCCATGTTTTGTAAATGCAATTGACAAAACATCCCCATTTGACCCAAGAAAAGTCATGAACCGTATGTGGTTCCAGCTCCTGGACCCTGCCTTTAGTGTTAACTGTTTTGTATGCATAAGAGTAGCGACAATCGTACCTTTTTTAGCAGTTTAAACATGACCACTGTCTACCCTTTTTATGACTGAATCCTGAACTCTTGGGGGCTTCCAGGAGCTGTTGGAAGGCCCCGTAGAACCCCCGAATTTCAGTGTCAGTCGGGACCCCTGGGGACACGGGAGATGGTATATATAAACATACGTGTATGACCACATGTACTCAAAGGAAATCTGTTGGAACTTGTGTTGGCGTTGAAAGATGGGTTACATGAGTGGTGTGTAGACCCCTGTTCTACCCAGGGGTCTAACAGGGTAGATGTGACCCCTGTTCTACCCAGGGGTCTAACAGGGTAGATGTGACCCCTGTTCTACCCAGGGGTCTAACAGGGTAGATGTGACCCCTGTTCTACCCAGGGGTCTAACAAGGTAGATGTGACCCCTGTTCTACCCAGGGGTCTAACAGGGTAGATGTGACCCCTGTTCTACCCTGGGGTCTAACAGGGGTAGATGTGACGCCCCTGTTCTTCTTCACCCAGGAACGCTTACGACATCTACAAAATACTTATCCCACCACTAAATGGGGGTTTCTTCCCTTACCCTATCGAAGCAAAATGTACAGGATGGCCATTTTTAAACGAAGAGGTGGCATGGCTCTGTCTTCTCTCGGCTCCGATGATCATCACCCCAATATGACCTTATATGATAAGTAGAACGCTACGGTGATGATTACGTCACCGTAGCCAGTGAAGAGTACTCTCAGAGTCTCCCGCTGTACTCCATGAAGTCTAACACACTCCACAGGAGCGAGCTAGCACAATGGCCATCACACAAACATGATGGACAAAAAGGTATGAAAAATGATGGTAGGAAAAAGGGATTAGACAGCGTTTCCAGCCAAAAACAGACCATATCCTAGGCTGGGGAAAAAAGCCCAAATCCTAGGTAAAAAAACCTTGGTGGCGATGACCTTCAGATGAAGCCTATCCAGAGCAACCTTGGGGGAAGGGAGGGAAGGTTTGGGGAGCGGGGCGCCTCCCCAAGCCGAGTGACACGAGGCTATATATACAGGCAGACTACAAGGGCCAGGAGACAAGAGCCTTTGTTGAGGCGAGTACGACCGCGACGCCCACCATGGTAACGTGGGGTAGTGTTGTTGTGGTGCTGCTGCTGCCTGGTGTGGTGGTGTTGATGGTGGTGCTGCCTGGTGTGGGGGTGTGCTGCCTGGTGTGGAAGTGCTGCCTGGTGTGGTATTGACGGTGGTGCTGCCTGGTGTGGGGTGTGCTGCCTGGTGTGGAAGTGCTGCCTGGTGTGGAAGTGCTGCCTGGTGTGGTATTGACGGTGGTGCTGCCTGGTGTGGGGGTGTGCTGCCTGGTGTGGAAGTGCTGCCTGGTGTGGAAGTGCTGCCTGGTGTGGTGGTGTTGACGGTAGTGCTGCCTGGTGTGGTGGTGTTGACGGTAGTGCTGCCTGGTGTGGTGGTGTTGACGGTAGTGCTGCCTGGTGTGGTGGTGTTGACGGTAGTGCTGCCTGGTGTGGTGGTGTTGACGGTAGTGCTGCCTGGTGTGGTGGTGTTGACGGTAGTGCTGCCTGGTGTGGTGGTGTAGACGGTAGTGCTGCCTGGTGTGGTGGTGTTGACGGTAGTGCTGCCTGGTGTGGTGGTGTTGACGGTAGTGCTGCCTGGTGTGGTGGTGTTGACGGTGGTGCTGCCTGGTGTGGAAGTGCTGCCTGGTGTGGTGTTGACGGTGCTGCTGCCTGTTGTGGGGGGTGTGCTGCCTGGTGTGGTGTTGACGGTGGTGCTGCCTGGTGTGGTGGTGTTGACGGTGGTGCTGCCTGGTGTGGTGGTGTTGACGGTGGTGCTGCCTGGTGTGGTGGTGTTGACGGTGGTGCTGCCTGGTGTGGAGATTTTATGTGGCGTTGATGGTGGTCAATCAGCAAACATTGAGATAAATGAGTCTACACCCTCTGAAAGATCGTTTACATTATATCAGAAGCAGGATGGGTCCAAGTACAGAGCCCTGTGGGACTCCGCTGGTGACATCTCGACTCTGAGGTCTCCCCCCCCCCTCCCTCACAGTTACTCGGTGTTTCCTGGTGTTTAGATATTCCCTTATCCACTGGAGCACCTAACATTTTACTCCTTCCTGGTGTGTGTACTCACTTATTTGTGTCTGCTGGATCGAGCATCGAGTGGATCTCGCCTTTCGAGCATCGGTTGTTTACAACAAGGACTACGGTCCTATTTCCCTATATGTGTGTGTATGTGTCTGTGTCTGTTATCTAATACATGCGCTAGATGTATACTTTTCAATGTGTTCATGTTATCGAGCATATGTTTTCTCTCTACCGTAAGACATTCTCCAATTATTTGAATTATTATTATTAACATCTCAAAAGTTGCATGTAATTGGTAACGTTTCATTTTTGGTGGAGGTCTTGTGTTATTATATTGAGGTCCTGCGGGTCTTATTTATTCGCGTGAACCCTGTAGCACAGTGGTCTACGTCCACAGCTCACAACAGAGGCCACGTTCCTTTTCTCTTGATGCCTATGTTCACCTAGTCAGTAAATTGGGTTACCTCTGGAATTAGGCAACTGTTGTGGATTGCTTCCTAAGGTAACTCAGTAGTTGACTTTGGGTAAACCCAAAGACTTATTTACCTCAGTATTGTATTACATTCTCTGTTCCTTTCGATACTTGTCGAAAAGTTGCTAAAAAAAATCTTGAATATAATTTCGTACACCTAAGAAATCCTTACAAAGTTCTGTACCCAATGAGTACGCTATAAAGATGATTTTACAAGTGACGTGTCCTCCTACAGAGATCAAGAGAGTTAGCAGCGCTGGTGGTGGCGCTGTTAGCGGTGTGGCAGCCGTCAGGAGCTCGACCACAGACCTCCAAAGGCATGACCCTCGTCCCGGTAGCTCTACCCGCTCCTCTAGGACTCCCTACCTCAAGCGCTGTGGAGGAAACAGATCTCATCTCCAAAGGCTCGTCAGTTTTAGACGCGCCAGCTGCCCCTCAGTCATTGCCGGTGGATAAAAGAACTGGTCTTACTGGCAATAAGGAGTTTCCTGGATTCTCTGGAGGTGACCTTGGCGGATCCTTTGGTCAGAACGTTCCTGCCTTGTCTGATGCAGGTCTTGGGGAAGAGTTCGGGAAGGGATCTCCTGGATTTTCTGTAAAAGGGCCTGGCTCAGACCTTGGAGCGGGGTCTCCTGGGCTCTCAGTAGGTTCTGGTGCAGGTTTCGGAGCAGGTGCTGGTGCAGGTTTCGGAGCAGGTTCTGGAGCAGGTTTCGGAGCAGGTTCTGGCGCAGGTTTCGGAGCAGGTTCTGGCGCAGGTTTCGGAGCAGGATCTGGCGCAGGTTTCGGAGCAGGATCTGGCGCAGGTTTCGGAGCAGGTTCCGGAGCAGGATCTGGATTCTCAACAGGCTCCGGCACAGACTTTGGGGTGGAGCTCTCAGCAGGATCTGACGTTGGCTTGGGAGTTGGGTCGCCCAAGGTGCCCCTTCCCAGTCAAGGAGGATTAGATATTAAAGTCGACGATCAAAGCTTTAGTACATCTGGAATCGGCCCGTCAAAAGTTCCTTTACCTGGAACTTCCAAAATTGGAGCTGTTGATTCTCTTCTCAACCATCCCAAAACTAGCGGTGGAGGTGCATTAGGAAAGGTAATCAGTGGACATTCTTCGGCTGGTGGCGGAGGCGTTCTGAACCTGTTGTCATCGTTGATTACCGGCCTCAGTGGTACCGGAAGCCTCGCACACAAGAACCCATTGAGCGCGCTTGGGCTAGGGTCGCAAACTCTACAGTCCTTTGTTCAGTTAGCTTCTGCGTCGGCAGATGATATTGGTCGTGAAACCAACTTTGGGCTAAGGCTTCTAGGAGACGAGGTTGAATTCCAGGGACAGCAACGGTTAAAAAAAGTTCTCAAAGGTGTCCAGCAAGCAGGTCGCACGGTCGGGGCTGTTGGACAAAATACTTACCGAGGTGTGTTGCAGACAAAAGATTCTTTGGGCAACTTAGCCGTAGGTACAGTGCATAATTTAGGGGAATTTGCTGACCATTCAGTCACGGCGTCGTTTGACAAGGTCTCCGATACCCTCGGCGCATTTGGACGCCTTCTTCATGACCTGAAGACGGCATTCTTAAAGAGTATTATCGCACAGGCTGAAGCTGGGAAAGTACTGGTGGATAACCAGTCCAAGACGACTTCAGGAGCCGTCAAGGAGATACTTGACGATAACCGTGAAGTTATCAGAGATAACATCCGCGCCATAACAGGATTGAAAAAGGAAATATCATCAAAGAGAATATAGGCTGATAGTTCTTGATTAAAGTCAGTGAGTAATAAAAATAAGAATACGACATCGTTAGTCTTAAAATGACTGGAGTGTGATGGTTATGAACTTGTCTTGCTACCCAGGACTAAGCAGTAAAATAAACATCCTTTCGTAGAGTGTTCTATCAGCCATGGTCCCCACTATGTGCAGTTCTTAAACTATTAAACGTATTTTTTGGTTATAGTTTCTTCTTTGCAAATGAGTTAAAATATACAGAAAAGTTTTTATAAAAAATGTTTAAAAATAAATCCATATTCCTCCTTAAATAAACAGAATTTCAAATTAGAACCAGAGAGAGATGTCAGATCCTGTTAAGTGTAACGATTTATAAATTGAACAAAATTGAACAAATTTCCTTCAAGTTTTGTAGTGACATGCGCCATATGAAGCCCAAGTACCTCGGGTTAGCCATAATATGTCATGTTGGGTTGCAACTCGTTCTCGCACTTTCTTATAGTCAATATTGACTTATTAAATACGTGCATATGTGACATACTAATTTATTGTGAATATTTTAGTTTACCTTGAAAGGCTTCATAGAAAACACCGACCTTACCTAACCTTCTTAGTATGTTAAGATAAACACCTGAAATATTCACATTAAATTAGTATGTCACATATGCACTTATTTAATAAGTCAATATTGACTAAGAAATTGCGAGAACGGGTTGCATAAGGTAAGCGCTCGTCTGAAGGTTAAACGAGTTAGTTAACCATATCATCTGTACAATGCAATGAGAAATTGCATTTCTCCACTATGAGACCAGCTTGAGCTACTGCTACCACATCTGTGTACTCATCTAGTTGAGCTTCGGCTCTTTGGTCCCGCCTCTCAATGCCTTAGTCTTGCCGGTGTGTCTGTTTCAGTATATAGGATTAAATGCTCCTGTATCTATATTTCCAAGTGTCGTGTATATACATTAAGAAAGCAATATATATTTGTCACTTAAAATGACTTGGAAGAAGAGCTTGCACCCGCTGCGGGTGTGTCTGCAGTTGTCAGTCACACTCCACACTTCTCATCTGTGAGAAACCAGCAACAGCCACACTTCTCATCTGTGAGAAACCAGCAACAGCCACACTTCTCATCTGTGAGAAACCAGCAACAGCCACACTTCTCATCTGTGAGAAGCCTGCAACAGCCACACTTCTCATCTGTGAGGAGCCAGCAACAGCCACACTTCTCATCTGTGAGGAGCCACACTCGACGCTCCTCGCCATATGGAGACGATACAAACGCCTAGCATGCCGAGTCGTCGCTGCTGGACCGACGCCTTCCTGCACCACTTCGCCAGGACCTCCCCCCCCCCCCCCCCCCTGCACCCTCTTTGCTTCCACCTTACATACAGCAACACTTCCAAAGGATCTTCCCGCAACACTGCCAGGACCTTCCAGCTATAGGACATTCTGTGCTTCCCAGAAATAAAATGTATATACTCAAGAGTTGAATTCACTGCACCGTGTTAACTCCTCTCACCTTCTCTCACCAGTCCCATCATGACCAGCCCACACATTAGAATATGAAGAGACGACGACGTTTCGGACCGTCCTGGACCATTCTCAATCGACTTGAGAATGGTCCAGGACGGAGCGAAACGTCGTCGTCCCTTCACCTTCTAGTGTGTGGTCTGGTCATCCCACGTTACTGTGACTCATCGCCTGCACAGTTCCCTCACTCACCGCTCAAGAATAAATCTGCTGCACAATTTACAGAGGTTGTAATTATTATATCTTTACATTCTATGCTGTATTTACTATATACTAAAAATAATTTTTTGCATTTAAGGTGCCAGCCAGGCCTACCGAGGCCATAAATAGGCCTGGCCGCACTGCCGACGCCCTCTTCTCAGCTGGACACCGATCAAGGCAGTACTTAGCGAGTGCATTCGGCGTTCCCATGACCAAAGATCACATTCACTCCAAATAATCTACCACTTAAGGGCTATTCATGTCCGTGCCACCTCTTGGGTGGCTTAGTCTTCATCAATCAATTCATCTCTGTGTTCGCCCCCGCGCGCTGTGCATGTTCCTCCTCGGCTTCGGCCGGGTGCAGGTTCTCATTGTCCCCCCCTTGTATAGCGGTCCTCGGTCCTTCCTCAGTACCCTCTAGGCTGCCAGTGAGGGCGCACGTCTGTTGATACGGAGCTCCCCGCATCGTCTCCTCCCTTGTAAACAATACAGTCTGGGGGACCATTCGGGTTTAGCATGTAATATTGTATCAAATAATATAATATCAAACTGTAAAATGAACTAGATGAAATAGTTGACCACATAACTTTGATTGTGTAGTCAACATGAGATACATAATACACCTATTTCTTGGTAATGTGATGAAACAAAGAAACGTTCGGAATTTTCGTTTCCGTTTCCTAGTGGTAGTGGACACTATACTGTGTGTGTGTGTGTGTGTATTTTCACATGTGGTTATTCTGCACACACACACAAACACACATTATATATATATATATATATATATATATATATATATATATATATATATATATATATATATATATATATATATATATGCTAACGTCATTAACGTCATGGAGAGGCTAAAGTGGCTACACTGTTAGGTCATTAGAAAAAATTCTTGCTAGTCATAGGCTCTGGCCTTGATCCATGAACTTTTTATTCAACTTTTAAATTTACAATTATAAGCGAGAAAACATTAATAAACGTTTGAGTTACATTGCAGTTACAGTACCCCGGCGGTACCCGGGACTGTCTGTCTCATTCCTCAGTAATGAGGAATGAGACCCAGGCCCCCCTCTCTCTTTTTCTCACCTCACACCACCCCTCTTCACTCATTCTTTGCCCTTTTTTTTCCCCTCTCCCCTTCCTGTTCCCTTCTCTCCTACTCTCTATTATCCCATATTTTCCTCTCTCTTCCCCCATTACCATACCTCTCTCCTTCCAACCTCGAATAAAGTTATTTCCATATAAGTAGAAGCCTTACCTAATTACACCGGGTAAGCCGTGTAACCTGGTTCCCCTTTGTTCCCCACTTTTCACCCCATTTTCCCCTTTGCCCTCTCATCCCACCCCCTTCCCTTCATCATTCCTTCCACCCTCCCCCTCCTCGCTTCCCCCTCTCACCCTTTTCTCTAAAAATGTATTATTAAGAAACACTAAAACAACTGCACGAGTCTCAGAAAATATATTACAATCACTAAAAGTTCTACGGAATTCACGCCATATATTTCACATTTGACTCCATAAAATTTGCCTGAGGGTGTCTATCATTGCTAATAATTCTTAAGGTGCTTAACATAGTCCTACTCAGACCAGCCTATGTCGGTCCCATACTATTCCCCCCTGCACATTTGCGTGAGGATAGCTCCTAGCATCTTGCCTCTAACATTAGACATATAGACATTCTATCTTATATTACTGATATATAATAGCAGGAATACCAGGCTGCACACGGGTTTCTTCCCTGCTCTTCACCCAATATTCTCCTTCCCTCCCTCATCACCATCCCATTGCTCTCCACTTTATCTCCTCCCCCGTCCTTTCCCTCTCTTCCTCCTCTCTTCACTCCACCTCTCCCTTTTATTACAACATTTATTACTAAGAAGCACTGAAATGTTCGTGGGTCTCAGAAAATTTATTATTACGAAGAACTGAAAAACTCTATGGGAACACACCAAATAATTAACAATGGATTCCATGAAGATTGCTTGGGGAATCTCTATAAATGCTAATATTTCTTAAAAGTATTTAACTTAGGCTGACCCCGACCAGACTATGTCCGTCCCGTATCCTTGTCCATTCACCTTTCAAACTTGGGTGAGGCAAGCCCAAAGCGTTTGGCCTCCAACGTTGTACAAAGAACGAGACAACAGATGGACAGAACATGGGTAAATGTGCAACATCGTACGTGTGATCAACATAGTGATCAAGACCTTCCCAATAGTGAAAAAAATCTCATTTTAAATGTACAGTACGTTGAAAAAAATTCGAATGCGTCTTTGGGGTCAACCACCTTATGGACAAGAACAGTTTGAAGACGAGTTGCGAGGACATGAGACTTTAGGAGCGGCGCCCGTCTGGATAAACAATGGCCGAATGCTCTTTAATCCAGCCAACACCCCCTCTCCCGATTGTGAATAGAAAACACCTTAAAATCAGCTCACAATCCGCCTTCCGGCTATGTTAATTTCATCCAGCGACCGACCCAAACCATGTTATGTGCAGTGTGCAACTGCATGAGGAGTTTATCATCTCGATGACTGCACGAGTACAAATGTCGAGAGACGCGTCAGAGTTGAGAAAGACAAGGTTTCAAATGTGTTTGTTGTGCTGTAAATAGAGGAGTATTTTTGTTCAAGATTCAGCTACTCGGAACAAAAAGTTACAAATAGTCTACGGGCTATAGCGAGCCCGTAGACTGGCACAGGAGCGGGGCTATATGTGGTGTATAACAAAGATGGAGCAGCAACAACAAAACAAGGGTGCGCGTGTTAGAGGGAGACTTACCGCACTGTAGGGCGAGGTTCTTGTTGATTTAGTGGCGACGTAGGTCGTGGGATCGGATGAGCCCCGGCGTACTCGTGAAGGGTTAATCGCAAAGCCTAATGGAGAAATGAATATCGCGCATCAGCGGAAACTAATGTGATTTGCGGACACAGACGGGCAGATGATTTGGAAGCCCCCAGCAGTCCCTCAGGGTGACAAGCACCGGCGCCACCCCACACAAGTGAAATGCCGGCCACCACGTCTGAGGGCACACCAAGGGTCCACCAACTCCCGGCACCTCTCGGCCATGCCGGCGCCGGACACCGTCACCCCGCCGGGAGAACTACCCAGAAAACGTTCAAAATCTATCAACTAACCTGTGACCCAAGGCGACATGTGCGCCAGGCGTCGTAACAATCCGGACAGTTGAATAGGAATGCCAAACGCCAGTATCATAAACCAAAATCGCGAAACAGAACGTGATCAGGCGGCTCCCCAGGCGGAGGAAGTGTCCGGACGTCCGCTCGAGGTGCAGGTGTTGTGTTTATGAACAACAGCTGATCGGCGAGGCAACAGCTGATCGGCGAGGCAGTTGTTTTCTGTGTTTGGCTCATTTAAAAAAAGGAATGATCTTAGATATAAATTAATATTATATAATAACAATAATAATAATTATTATTATTTAGGTAAAAGTACATACACACAAAATGGCAAGTAGAATTTTGGATTTCTAGATAGAGCTAGTATATGCTATGCCTAAAGCCACTAATACGCACAGCGTTTCGGACAAGTGAAAAAAATTAGAACTAAGGCGTAAAACTAATTGAAATTCAAAGCATGAAATTGAACTGAAGTAGAAAAACAAGACTGAAAATAATTACATGTTGAATGGAACAGCATAAACTGCAACAGAACAGCTGATAGTAATTCTTTAAATATATAAATGGTAGATATCAGCAGTGTTACAAGTTAGTCATTAAAACATTAAAATTTAGACGTCTATATACTGCATAGACGAGTGTTGTCTGCGGACTGTTTGGACTACAAGAGGGCAAGAGACCCTCTGTGTCAAGTACCATGCTAAAACTCAGTGGGAAAACACCAAATGAAATTATGTAATATATATGAAACAATTTACAGTTGCCTAAGCAACATTCATTCCTCAAAGGAAATAAATTAACGATAAATGCATTAACATATCTATGGTTAAATAGGCAGAGCAAGAACTGAGTACACAATTTTCAAACAAGATCCAGAATAGCATTTTGGGAATAATATAACCATAGAAGCAAAGGACCAACCCAAGCTCATGTAGATTCAAATAAGAAAAGAACGAGAGCTAAAGACTGAAGAAGAAATGTAAAATCTTAACGAAAAATTATAAATATGTTGGATTATTTCAACAGAAGGTTTCAGGAGAGTTATACAACAGAATCAGCTTGCAAACCGAGAGTGGATGAAAACAGACTGAAGCAACATTAATTAAGCAGAATAGTTAAACTTTTAATAAAACATTTGAGACTGGAGAACTCTCAGTAATCATGAACAAAAATAATTAGTTCAGATAATCATGAAGGGACGGTCTCGCTTCATACAGATCGTCGATCAATCCCCGACCGTCCAAGTGGTTAATTTGTACTCACTGAATTTGTGCACCCCTTGAGGGACTTGAAGTAGAGTGGGGTAGAAATAGCCTAAGCTACTCTATCCCTTTGAGATGTATTTCTTTCTCATCTCAATAAACATACTTGAACTTGAACTTGAACAAGTGGTTAGGCACCATTCCTTCCCCCCGTCCCATCCCAAATCCTTACCCTGACCCCTTCCAAGTCCAATATAGTCGTAATGGCTTGGTGCTTTCACATGATATCCCTCCCTCAAAATGTAACTTTTTAGGCTCCAACAGTGCACTTTTGTACATTGGGTGCAATAGTTGCTATAAAATTATTACTTCAGGAGGACGAGCGGGCGTTTCTCTGATGCTGAGAACGTGTATGAAGTAAACAACAGTACCCAATGGGGCCAATCAGACCATTAGGTAGCTGAAACATACCACATAATGCGCTTTCATGTGTATAAAATCTCACATATTCCTACCTCCAGCGCTCAACACATACAATATATCCCTCGTCTGCTTATGTCGGTTAATTCATCCTTGATTGAAATGTCTTATATTTACATTTTATTGTTTTTGTGTTCTAGTTCGGCGGTGACTCGACACTTACCAAGTAAGTGATTTCAACAGTTAGTTCCATCGACGTTGACTAACATGAAACCTCGTCTATGGTGTATGTGGTAGGAGGCTGCGAGATAGCCAGAGGCAGCGTGCTGGCGACGCCCAACACCACCACACACACATCATGATAACACTAATCTGAATTTACCTGAATTAACCGTCTCTCTTCCCGCTCTTATTTTCCTCAGGCTGCGTCAGTGAGAAGCCTAGCCGGGTGTCCCTGGCTCACTCAACGGTCCCTGTAGAGCCTTCACTGTTGGATTACACGTGTGTTCCTGTAGAGCCTTCACTGTTGGATTACACGTGTGTTCCTGTAGAGCCTTCACTGTTGGATTACACGTGTGTTCCTGTAGAGCCTTCACTGTTGTATTACACGTGTGTTCATGTAGAGACTTCACTGCTCCATTGCCATGTGTGTTACAGTTTGAGGGAGATAATATACTATCTATTATACTATCAGTTTGGGGGAATAATATACATATACTATGAGAAAATAAAAGAAGAAAACGTTTGAACCATTCTGGAGAGTGGCCATAGTAGAGGCTGACCATTATTGACGGTGTTCATAATAGAGGGTTGTCATAATAGAGGGGTGGCCATTTTAGAGGGATGGCAACAGAAGAGAGTGGCCATTGTTGAAGGTGGTCATTGCAGAGGGTGATTATTATAGTTTGGTCTCTGTACAGGATAGCTATTGTAGAGGATGGCCACTGTAAAGGGTGTCCATTGTAGAGGGTGGCCACTGTAAAGGGTGGCCATTGTAGATGGTAGCCACTGTAGAGTGGCCCGCCAACACTACACTACAGCGGGCATAGCTCTCTCTTCCCTCAGCTGAGCTAATAAATAACTATAGTTGAGACTCTTGTTATTGTAGAATACATATAGGCTCTCCTACTCTACTGACTCAACTCAACCATATACCAGAAGTGCGGGAGGACAGCTTCTCTTCTCCCTTGAGAATCAGTTTTTAGGTAAATTGTGTGAAATCTCTGACTCTTAGGAAATATAATATTTTCCCACTTTCAAACAAAAACTGTAGCAAGGGCAGTAAGAAGGAGAGCTCGTACCCTTCAGGCGAGACTCACAGGATTTCTCATACTGTATCTTTCAGTATAAAAACAGTGTTGATTTTATGTCCTTCATGAGACATCATGGTTCATATCATGGTGGGGTGGGGTCCCGGAGCTCCCCAACACTGGGGTATATATACCCGAGACTGCCAGGGGCAGGATACAGTCTTGTGGAGGCGAGGAACAACACCACCACCACCGGAATCATGGTAACGTGATGGAGTCGTGTGGTGCTGCTGACGCTGACGGTGGTGGTTGTGGTGACCGTGATGGTGGTGATACTAGTGGTGACGGTGGTAGTGTTTACCTAACAGAGACTATCGGAAAGTGAGGTCTAACTCTTTAATGCCTGCCTGCCAGCCTCGTTGTACCGGTTGGGGTGTAGCCTAACTTTTCTGATGCTCGAGTTCTTCGAGGCGGCTACGGTCCTAACGGCGAGGATGACCGTGGCTTCAATTCACATTCCTTCAATTCGTTTGCGTTTCCTCTTAACAAACTTCCCTTCACTTAAAGAGGCTGACCTTATCCGCCTTGCCCATTCCACCTGAATATGTTGTGATCGTATCCAATCTTGTTTCTCTTTCCCTCTGGGATTGTGAGATTTAGTGCCCCTAGCCTATTCTCTTAGTTCAGCCATCTTAGCTCTAGCACTAATGTTAATGAAAACACTCTGCATATTTTCAATTATTATTTAGTGTTTCACAAGGTGTGGATTCCAGGCCGGTGTTGCATATTCCAGTTTTTTATTAACAGACTGATTAGGATGCCTTGAGACTGTCCCTATTTCGGTTTTTAATGGTGATGGTGGTGGCAGTGCTGGTAATATTGTTCGAGGTGGTATTACTGGTGGTAGTGGTAGTGGTGCTAGTGTTGGTGGTATTACTGGTGGGGGGTGGAGGTGCTAGTGATGAATTGGAGGGGGTGTTGGTGGAGGTGGTGTTGGTGATGGTGGTGGGGTGGATGGTGGTGGAGATGCTAGTGATTGTGGAGGTGCTGGTGGTGCTAGTGATGGTAATGAAGGTGGGGTGGAGGTGGTGTTGGTGGTGATGATGGTAGTGCTAATGGAGGTGTTGGTGGTGGTGCTAGTGGAGGTGTTGGTGGTGCTAGTGGTGGGGAGGTGATGATGGTGGTAGTGCTTATATTCCTTCCTCACAAATATTAATAACAACATTTGGACTACATATTTCCACCCCATTGAAAATACATGGCACAGATGTATGATATATATTATATATGACAAATATATAACTATATAATTACGAAGATATATTATAACTTGTAGTAAAGGACAGCTGTTAATCTTGGTGAGTGACTTCTTTTAAAAGAGACCTCGCTCAGCTTCACTGTTTATAGAAAAGGCCATCATACAGGAAGCTGCCACCTCTACCTTAATAACAATTACAATAAAGTAAAACGCAGTGTTGTTTCGGATCTTGTTCTAAGAGCATTGCATAATTGTAGCCTCATGATCCTACATTACAACTTTTGACAAGAAGTTTATCGCCTAAACATTTACTGTAAACGGGCTGCCCAACTGTTCGGGTGAGCTGGACAAGACTTGGAGTGTCTCACGAGACAAAAGAAACTGTTCCATGGTGTCTCTGTTTTGTATTCCTTGGTACAAGCTACTGAACAGTATATTAAGTTCTCAGATGTTTGTTTATCATTTCATATAATTGCAAAATTAACAAATTGTGCATCGATAACTATGTAAAACTGTTATTATTACACATTATTTCCATAAGATGATCTACAATTGATGTGTCTTCCTACAGAGAGCGAGAGAGTTGGCGTCGCTGGTGGTCACGCTGTTAGCGGTGTGGCAGCCGTCAGCAGCACGACCCCAGCTCAGTGACATAGCCCATGAATCTATTTCGAGCGGTGTAGAGGGCACAGATCTCATCCTCGATGGCACATCAGCTGTAGACGTACGAGGAGGAGGAGTACCAGCTGTAGATGTCCCAGTGAATCCCCAGACATTGTCGGTGGACAGGACTGGTCTTATTGCGGGGTCACCTGAGGCTTCCAAAACTTTTATTGTTTCATCATTGCATAAGCCTCTTTTAAGTCATGAAAAATCTAGTAGTGGGGAATCTTCGTCTGGTGGAGGAGGCTTCCTGAACCTGTTGTCATCGCTCGTTAGTGGCAGCGCTGGAAGTGTATCACAAGTAAATAAGAACCCACTGAGTGCACTTGGGCTGGGGCAAGACACTCTCCAATCATTTGTTCAGTTAGCGTCTTCGTCTGCAGACGATATCGGTCGTGAAACTAATTTTGGACTAAGGCTTCTAGGAGATGAACTTGAATTTCAGGGTCAACAAAGACTGAAACACGCTCTTAGAGGTGTCCAGCAAGCAGGTCGCACGGTCGGGGCTGTTGGACAAAACACGTACCGTGGTGTGTTGCAAACAAAAGATTCTTTGGGCAACTTAGCAGCAGGAACAGTGCAGAACTTAGGAGAATTCGCTGACGACTCAGTCACGGCGTCATTTGATAAGGTCTCTGATACCCTCGGCGCATTTGGACGCCTTCTTCATGACCTGAAGACGGCATTCCTCAAGAGAATTATTGCACAGGCTGAAGCTGGTAAAGAACTGGTGGAGAACCAATCAAAGACGACTTCAGTAGCCGTCAAGGAGATACTTGACGATAAACGTGATACTGCGAGAGATAACATTCGCGCCATAACAGGATTAAAAAAGGAAATTAAATCGAAGAGGATATAAGTCTTCATGTCATCAGAAGATGAAATGAGGCTTTCAAAATATTAATGAGACGTCATTATTCATGCAACTGATGAGTATTTGGAATTTCACTTTACAATAACTTATATATCCAATGTTAACACGAAATATAAACTAATTAAATTTAATTAACATTATGCAAACCTTTTTCTCTCTATTAGGCTCGTAAGGCCCATCCTGTAGAGTTAATAGGACCACAAAAGTACTTACCGACCAAGCTGCAAGTATTCTTTAGTCTACGACTCTGAGTGTATATATATACACCGTTAAAAGCGGCACACTTCCTGGTGTATATAATTCTATAAGCTGTATGCTCAAGTATACATATGTCAATAAGCTGTATTTCAGCTTTATGACGCCAGTTTGACCAACTCATAAAAATTGTTTATTGCAACATCAAATCTGGCAGAAGATATATATATATATATATATATATATATATATATATATATATATATATATATATATATATATATATATATATATATATATATATATATATATATATATACATTGTTATGTGAATCTGACTGTCTGCATATCTACTTCATTATAGATGTTAATATATAGACAAATTTATATTCCAAGAAATCTTAAAAAACAAAAAAAAATCACCTTTAGAGTTTTTAATTCCAAAATAAAAAAATATTACTTTATGCAAAATTCCGAAAATATTCTAAATAATTCTTTAACATTTTTGGAAGTGAGATTTAAAAATATGAATGAAAAAATATAACGTTTTATGCTCATATTAATTAAATTCTAATAATAATATTTTTTATGTGATATTTCGACCCTTAGTTCTCACCTAATTTTAAATTTAATTTGATCATGATGAGTAGAAAAGTCATATAAATAGGGACATTAAAAAAAAAATCCAAATGTTGTTTAAAACTAATTTCCTTTGATTTGATTATGGACATTTTTTTTGTATTATAACAAGTTTTTCTACCTATTAGGCAACATATAGACAACGATACGTCAGTTCTTGCTAACTTTAGGGATTTGTTAGAATGGAATTATATGGGTTGTTATAGTGCTGACGTCAATTGACAATCGTCACAGTTTGTTGAGTACTTACCGGGAGGGGGGGGGTAGATTACAAAGAATAATCTCGGATTAATTTTTGGAGTACTCTGGACACAGACCGTACTGTGAGTCAGGTTTATATTTGACACCCTCCAGCCTAAACTATTAGTCAAATACTGACTTGTTGAGTTTAATAAGTCAGTATTTGACTTATATGATGTGAGCCCAACGGCGACCTGTGTTGATGATGAGCTGGAAAATGACCTGCTTTTGCCTGGAATCAGTTAGCTGCACCGCTTTCAGTCTCCTGACTCAACGCGTTTAGTCTCCTGACTCAACACGTTCAGTCCCTTGGCATAGTGTGTTCAGCTCCACTATTCACCACTGTGACTATATTTTCTAGTACACAAAATATGTTTTTAATATTTAAATTCACGAAAGTGTAATATCAACAGTATTAACATTAATGAGGAAATGTGTTGAAATTTAATATTAAAGCAAAATTGGCATTACAAGATATTCATGTACACCAAAACTGTAAACATTGCACCAAATAAAGATGAAAACAAACAAAAAAATTTATACTTCATTTTATTTACTTACGTAAAAAAATTTATGTGTTTTTGTGTTTATAATGAAGTCGAACAAGGGGGACCCTTAGCCTCGGAGGAAACCACACATAACGCATTAGAGGGAATGTTTAGGTCCCCTCCAATACAGTTTCTGTGTGCTTTTCTCCTACCACCCCCTTCCTTTTGTGTTTTTTGTGCTTTATTCTGTATTTAAAGGTTACAAGATATACATTGGTTGATACAAAAAGTGCCTAAAGGTGCCTAAAGGTGCCTAAATTCTCTTGAAGCTCCTCCGCTTCCGGACAGGAACCGAGGATGCAGCAGGCATTTCCCCTCTGGATCGCCACATTGAGGCGCTGAAACAAAAAACTGGAAGCCCTTGGGTCTCTAGTGACGTCAATGAGTCTGGAGCCCAATTCCTTGAGAAATCCCAAGGCACTCTTGCCCCAGGGGGCATGCGTCTCAGACGCTATGGGAACAAAGGTGTATCGATCTTCCAGTTGCCTGTACTTGAGTGGTTTTGCTGTTTCCCTGTGGTTGGCAGCCCCACCTGCTTGATCAGCACCGAAGTGTACATAGGTGTCAGCCAGGGTGGATACACATGTGTAATTCCACACCAACTGTTTGCCCCTTTTCCAAGGGTATATAGTGATGCCATCAGGGCAAAGTGCGGGGTCATTCTGGTTTTGGTCCCCTAGGATGCGAGGTTCTCTCTCCGCTGGGCACTAAGCTGAGACGAGGCTCCTCTTGATGATGTCATTGACCACGTTGTGTCTTGCATGCCATCTCTTTGTGCTTCCGCAATGCAACCCATGCAGTCCATATTGGTCTGCTTCCACCCTGTTGCAAATACACTTGTATTCAGTGTGAATTGGGGCACCGAGGTGGAGGGCCACTGCTACACGAAGGAATTCTGACGTAGGATCTAGATCTGATTCTGACCTGGATCTAGACGCGTGCCCATTGCCGACATGGGTACTGCCAGGAGGAAGTCTCCTGCATGGGGGGCACCCACTGCTCTGAATGCATGCCCGTGTATTCATGCTGAATCACTCACAGTTTCAGGTAGGATACTGACGAGGTCGTGTGATGCATGGGAGAAGGAAAGGAAGGCTGGTAGAGAAATCTGGGAGGCTGTGCGGACACCAAGGCCGCCGAGTCTTGCAGGGAGGGTTGCTTGCTCCCACTGAGAGTCGTCCAATGGCAGGTTTAAGACTTCCACCAGCATGAACCTCAGAAGGGTGTCATACTCAATATATATATATATATATATATATATATATATATATATATAAACACACTACCGTGGATGTAACATTTCATTCCCCTTGGCCTATAGGTTCCTCGAGCACCCGTTCTCTGACGTGGGAGGCAGATGTTTCACCGATTGTACCATGGGTACAATCGAAGTAAATTGTGCAGTTAAGCGTGAAGACCGAGCTAACATGAATAAATGACACTGCAGAAGGCCTTTGAAAAAGTAAGAGATGTAAGCAAAAAAGAGAAGAGCTTTGTTGTAAAAACTCGATAAACTGTGATACACAGATTAGGTAAGCATAGTTTAACGATACAGAAATCAGGAAAGGTTTTAGTGAATCTGTGAACCTCATAAAGGTGTTCCAGGTGCATGTTATGGAAGGCACGAGGAGGGGGTATACTCCGCCGGAGAAGCATAACAATTTAACCCATATGTTTTCACCTCGGTAAAGTCCTTAATCGTGATGGAAATGCTGTTCTGCTACATTATTTCCCCAGCATCAGTTGTGACTCAACACCTGTCAGGTTGGCAATTACGATAACCATTTCCTTTGCCCTTGACTAGCATGAATCTCGTGAAGATGTGAATGTAAGTTGTTGTTTTTTAAACGAAGATGAGGTAGTAAGATCAAGAGCGTCAGCGGCCGCCAGCCACTCAAATATTACCAATCTTACACGGCTATTATTTTGTGTGTCGGCCGCTGGCCCACCTGTCCCCCAGCACGGGTGGCTGTCATGCCACGCACGGGTCATACTGTACAGCCTTCACTGCTGTATTAACACATGGAGGCGGAACCAAAGAACCTGGGCATCTTCTTGTACCCGCTCGATGCTAAATGTTCCCTAAGGTAATATTGGCCACTCTCCGCGCGGCATTACGGTACTTGAGGTGGCATTGCTCTGATTTCTCGTACCGCTGATGCTGACAGCATCACCCGACTGAGCTGACAGCCCGATTATGACTCGATACGATCCGTTGTTGTCGTACAGTGATCACCGCAGGTAGCGCTCTTCTTAATAAAATCCAAGATTCGTCACAAGTGAGTCGCAGTTTTTTTTAGTTTATTTATTAGGCAACGCATACCCTATCCTGTGAGCGGTAGTGGACCCCATACCCATCCTGTGAGCGGTAGTGGACCCCATACCCATCCTGTGAGCGGTAGTGGACCCCATACCCATCCTGTGAGCGGTAGTGGACCCCCCATCCTGTGAGCGGTAGTGGACCCCATACCCATCCCATACCCATCCTGTGAGCGGTAGTGGACCCCATACCCATCCTGTGAGTGGTAGTGGACCCCATACCCATCCTGTGAGCGGTAGTGGACCCCATACCCATCCTGTGAGCAGTAGTCGACCCCATACCCTGTGAGCAGTAGTGGGAAAGGATACACAGCCACATAATGGTCTCCGAAACTGAACCAATTTTTTTTTAGCCAAGCAAATTGCATCATTTAGGAGTTATTTACATAATTTAACATGAATAAATCACTAGTATCTTCATGGTTTACCAAACTAACGTCTCCGTGACCTCAAGAGGCTCTAACATAAAGAGTAAGAGTGTTATTTGAACCAATTACATCCAATTTACATTTTCCAACCGTGCACTCCACATTCCATCCAGCGGGCGACGGTGTACAATCACCCGCATGAAATACCTACACTACTAGGTACACTCACAATAAACGAACTATCAAACGAATCTTAAAGGACACTTTATGTAAAAACTCTCCACCTTTCATATTAACTTAAGTTCAATAAAAGCAGGGTAAAAGGTCTAGGCAATAGAATTGATGTCCTTCAGAGGAACCCTAGTCCAGACCAACCTTGAGGGGAGGAGGGTCTGGGATTCCTTGCGGCGGGATGGGTGGAACAGGGAGGGAGGGGACCCTGAGCAGGTCGACACGAGGGTATATATATAGTGAGACTGGAAGGGGCAGGAGACACCCTGTGTGGAGACTTACAGGCGCACGACGTCCACCTCAAGCAATGGTAACGCTCATGTCTGCGGTGGTGGTAATGGTGTGCACAGTCCTGGTGGTAGTGCTGGTGGTGATGGTGATATTCTCGGGGGCTGGTATAGTGGTAGTGTTGGTGGTGGTGCGGGTGGTGTCGTTGAAGGTGATGGTGATGAAAACTGACACCTCTTCCCACACCACTTTTTTTCATCTCATATTTACATGATGTTTCTCGGTGTTGGTAAGTGAAGCGATGTTTGCCTTGTTTCCCTACTGGTGAGCTTGGCCTGGTGATGTTTATACTGAAGATTTTTTTTCAGGATGTGATGTTTATTTACAGATGGTGTCAGCCTAATGGTGATGTTTGTCACCGAGATGTTTACTTGAAGATTGGAATTTCGCCGTGTTGTGATGCATTCTTACTTTCATTTGTGGTGAGGTTAACATTGTGGAATTGATAACCTCTTGGTGGTGTTGAGGTGATGATAATATTGACCTTTTGTAAAGTGTGTTGCCTTTATGATGTAGCTTGTGACTTTGAAGTCTGTTGATGTGGACTTGCTAATAATGTGTACCTGAATATGTTGGTATAAGTATGTTAATGTTGGCATGATTATGTTGACTTAATGATAGTAGTGGGAATGTCTCTATTCAGATTGCTCGTTCCTCTGTTCCAGGCTCGTTATTGTGACTCGTTCCTTTGTTCCAGCCCCGTTACTGTGACTGGTTCCTCTGTTTCAGCCCCGTTACTGTGACTCGTTATTCTGTTCCAGCCCCGTTACTGTGACTCGTTCCTCTGTTCCAGTACCGTTACTGTGACTCGTTCCTCTGTTCCAGCCCCGTTACTGTGACTCGTTATTCTGTTCCAGCCCCGTTACTGTGACTCGTTCCTCTGTTCCAGCCCCGTTACTGTGACTCGTTCCTTTGTTCCAGCCCCGTTACTGTGACTCGTTATTCTGTTCCAGTCCCGTTACCATGACTCGTTCATCTGTTCCAGTCCCGTTACCGTGACTCGTTCTTCTATTCCAGCCCCGTTACTGTGACTCGTTCCTTTGTTTCAACCCCGTTACTGTGACTTGTTCCTTTGTTCCAGCCCCGTTACCGTGATTCGTTCCTCTGTTCCAGCCCCGTTACTGTGATTCGTTAATCTGTTCCAGCCCCGTTACTGTGACTCGTTCCTTTGTTCCAGCCCCGTTACTGTGACTCGTTATTCTGTTCCAGTCCCGTTACTGTGACTCGTTCCTTTGTTCCAGCCCCGTTACCGTGACTCGTTAATCTGTTCCAGCCCCGTTACTGTGACTCGTTCCTTTGTTCCAGCCCCGTTACTGTGACTGGTTAATCTGTTCCAGCCCCTTTACTGTGACTCGTTCCTTTGTACCAGCCCCGTTACTGTGACTCGTTAATCTGTTCCAGCCCCGTTACTGTGACTCGTTCCTCTATTCCAGCTCCGTTACTGTGACTCGTTCCTCCATTCCAGCTCCGTTACTGTGACTCGTTCCTCTGTTCCAGCCCCGTTACTGTGGCATGTTTCACAGTTCCAGCCCCGTTGCTGTGGCATATTTCTCATTTTCAGCCCCGGTGTGTGCGTGCGTGTGTGAGTGCGTGTGTGTGTAGTGTGTGTGAGTGCGTGTGCGTGTACGTGTGTGTGAGTGCGTGTGTGTGTGTGTGAGTGCGTGTACGTGCGTGTAAGTGCGTGTACGTGCGTGTGAGTGCGTGTGCATGTGGGAGTTGCGTCCGTTATCAGCATGACCCAGGAAGTGCGTCAAGGAGGTAACGGCAGGACTTGTTGGTGACCTTAGGTGATGCTGATCTCGGGCTGATACTTGCCAATATCCAATTATTTTCCCCCATTAATGTTTAGTCACGACAATTAGTGTCGTGTGTGTGTGTGTGTGTGTGTGTGTGTGTGTGTGTGTGTGTGTGTGTGTGTGTGTGTGTGTGTGTGTGTGTGTGTGTGTGTGTGTGTGTGTGTGTGTGTGTGTGTGTGTGTGTGTGTGTGTGTGTGTGTGTGTGTGTGTGTGTGTGTGTGTACTCACCTATTAGTGCCGCAGGGTCGAGCTCTGGCTCTTGGACCCCGCTTTTCTAGCCGAAGATTGTTTAATGAAATATGACTCCTGACCTATTTCCTTATCATACCAGCCTTTCAAGTTGTCTCAGCATCGATCCTTGAGGCAGCCCGCTTGTTACTCTTTGCCAGTCCGACTCCTCACCCCCTCACTGTCACTCTCTGACACCTCCTGTCTGTTAGGTAATTCCGTATCCATGTCAGTGCGTTTCCGTCTACTCCTGTCTGCCTTTCAAGTTACCTCCTGTGTGGTACTGCATCAAATGGTGTTCGATACGGTACGACAGGCGACAGGGGAATTGCGTAGGTAATTGCACGTTGATCAGTCCAGCAACCAGGAGGCCTGGTCGACGACCGGGCCGCGGGGACGCTAAGCCCCGGAAGCACCTCTAGGTAACCTCAAGGTAAGGTATGTACTCCAGCTTTTATTTAAGGGTCGATAAGGGCAGAAAATGTGGCAAACTATCTGTAAACTCATCTTCTGGTGTACGGTTTAGTCTTCAAATCTAATCCTTTAGATAGACCTAAAGATAGTGTAATCCTAAAGATAGCGTGTAGATCCTTTAGTCTTCAGATCTACACACTCCACGTTACTGTGACTCATCGTCTGCTTATTTCTATATACTTTTCTCAGACACAAAACAGTAATTCTATCCTTGTATGGTTAGCACAGGAAGTTGTCAATGTAAACTCGGCCGTTTGTTAAGGCATCCTGACGAATGTTTGTAGTTTAGTAACATTAATATGGTTAAATAGAAAAAAATGATCACGTGAAAGTTAACTATAGGCGGCCTGCCAACAGCTATTGAGACTGCTCTGATGGGCTGAACGTGTAGTTCAGAGTGTCCAACAACACAGAAATCTGTTCCAGTCTCTCGATATTTTTTATTCCGTGACAAAAAGTTATTCAACAGTATATTTAAATTCTCAGATCTCTGTCTATTTCACGTAATTTTAAAATTGCACAAATTGTGCATCAATAAATGTACAAAATGTTTATTATTACACATATTTCCATAAGATGATCTACAACTGACTTGTCTTCCTACAGAGAGCGAGAGTGTTGGCATCGGTGGTGGTGGCGCTGTTAGCGGTGTGGCAGCCGTCGGCAGCACGACCCCAGACCTCCCAACCCAGTGACATCGCCCATGTCCCCATCTCGAGCGGTGTAGAGGGCCCAGATCTCATCCTCGATGGCACACCAATTGTAGACGTGCGAGTAGGAGGAGTACCAGCTGTAGATGTCCCAGTGAATCCCCAGACATTGTCGGTGCACAAAAGGACTGGTCGTAGCGCCATTCCAGGCTCTTCTGGATTATCTGCGGGAGACCCTGGTCCAAACTTCGGCCAGAATTTACCTGCCTTATCCGGTGGAGGAACAGGATCTTCTGGATTTACAGTACAATCTGATGCTGTCTTTGGAGCTGCATCAAGCGGATTTCCAGGTGGATCTGGCATTGGATCAGGTGGATTCGGCGGAGGATCAAGTGAACTTACTGGTGCTGGCTTCGGGGCAGGATCAGCTGGTTTCTCGGGAGAGTTTGGGGCCGGGAGTGCAGCGCCCTCAGCAGTTTTGTCTGATGCTGGCACTGGAGGCGGTATTTCTTTAGGGTCAGCTGTATCAGGTAGTTCCGGCACTTTCGGTACGCAGGACATTGACGTTCCTATTTCTAGTCAAGGAAGCTTACGAGTTGAAGTCCCTTCACCGGGAGCTTCCGTAAAGGTAGATGTTGATTCTTTTGCTAATCTTCCACAGAGTAGTGGAGAAGGTGCCCTAGGAAAGTTCGTCGGTATTTTAAAACAAGGAGGATCTAGTGGTAGTGGGCAGTCTTCGTCTGGTGGAGGAGGAATCCTGAATGTGTTGTCATCGCTGCTTAGTGGCAGCGCTGGAAGTGTAACGCAAGTAAATAAGAACCCACTGAGTGCACTTGGGCTGGGGCAGGACACTCTCCAATCATTTGTTCAGATAGCCTCTTCGTCTGCCGACGACATCGCTCGTGAAACCAATTTTGGACTGAGGCTTCTTGGAGATGAAGTTGAGTTTCAGGGTCAACAAAGACTAAAACAAGCTCTTAGAGGTGTCCAGCAAGCAGGTCGCACGGTCGGGGCTGTTGGACAAAATACGTACCGTGGTGTGTTGCAGACAAAAGATTCTTTGGGCAGCTTAGCATCAGGAACAGTGCAGAACTTAGGAGAATTTGCAGACGACTCAGTCACGGCGTCGTTTGACAAGGTCTCTGATACTCTCGGCGCATTTGGACGCCTTCTTCATGACCTGAAGACGGCATTCTTTAAAAATATTATCGCACATGCTGAAGCTGGACAAGAACTGGTGGATAACCAGTCCAAGACGACTTCAGGAGCCGTCGAGGAGATAATTGACGATAAACGTAATATTGCGAGAGACAACATTCGCGCCATAACAGGATTAAAAAAGGAAATTAAATCGAAGAGAATATAAGTCCTTGTTAGACTAGTTTGAGCAACTCAATAAATAATATTTGAATAAGCAATACCGGACTTTACAGAAATAGTAGGGACAGTTAGTCTGCATTAGCGTGTCTGTTTCAAGACATGTGTTACAGTATTGATTTTTTAATCTAAGTGAAAAGAAACTAATATATAGTTAGAACCTATAATAACTTGGTAGAAGAAACTACCGCTGGCGTGTTGGTCAGTGATTGAGGGAAGGTAACCAGCTTTCAGTCTTGGCTCGTCCATCCTCCACTCAATACGAAAGAAGCATTCGCCAATTTTAACTTACCGCGTATTCAAAGCTTAAATTTTTTCACATATAGGAAACTATTATTATTTCCTGGACTGTGTTGAATAGCTAGACCAAACTTAGGCTAGGTTAGGCAATTATTGGTATTTGCAGTACGTGGATAAAGCGGTTTACAGACGTGTGATTCAAGCTCGGGACGTGAACGAAGCAGTGCTCGAGAAAAACAGTTGTGTAAAGTGTTTGTTATTCATAAGAGGAGTTTGGTGGCTGATGACAGCATTTGGCGTTTGGACAGATTGAGGAGGGGACTGCCAGCGGCTTTCAACGTCTAGTTCAAGACGCTTCTCACCAGCAGGAGGAGACCCCCAGCCACACTCTACACCTCTCACCAGCAGGAGGAGACCCCCAGCCACACTCTACACCTCTCACCAGCAGGAGACCCCCAGCCACACTCTACACCTCTCACCAGCAGCAGGAGACCCCCAGCCACACTCTACACCTCTCACCAGCAGGAGGAGACCCCCAGCCACACTCTACACCTCTCACCAGCAGGAGAGGCTACTAGTCACACTCGACGTTTATTATCCTGCAGGAGGGGACAGCTAGCCACAGTGGACGCCAGGAACTAGCTGCCCCGCTCCAGCAGGAGGTGGACACGCAACACAAGAGGCTGGGTCGTCGCTGGTGGACAAGCCAGACACCTCCCGCTACGTGCATGTTACTCACGAGGGCAAAGATGGTTAAGATTAACCGAATGGCTGGGAAATGGCCGACAACTTGCTGTGGTTCACAGTGTTGATACGCGCCTCGTACATCCCAGATATAAACTATTTCCCAAGAGTCCAGTTTGCTTTGCCTCATGGGAGACATCTCCCGTCACGCAGGGTGCAGTCGCACCTTCACAGATCTCCAGTATCAGCTCTTGATACTGGTAATGGCTCAAAAGGGCCACCACTTACGGGCTATTCATGCCCGTGCCATCTTTTGGGTGGCTTAATCTTCATCAATCAATCAATCTGCTGTGCCGGATACTGTCACCCTGCTCATCGCTGTGTAATAAAGCTGCTGTATTTTTACTGATATTGTATTTCTTATCCCTTAGCACTGAATACAACAAGAACAAGAATCAGAGACGCATTGTTATTAAGAACGACCAGACATGTATGGCCAGCTCAGGACACTTAGGAACTGGTAAATTCTTATTGTTATCAGTTCTGGGTGTACGATAATGCAGCCACACTATTCCTTCCCGGTATATCTTATATCTATAAGCGAGACTATAATATATAGTCTATCTCAAGCGGGAGGCCAGATACTTGGAGCTATCATCACACAACTTTGCAGGGTAACCAGAGAGACAGACGTGACCAACATAGGTCGTGGTCAGCCCCGTTACTCCCATGGCGACTGCTATGAGAAGGAAAGGCGGAGCTAGGGAGCTGTTGCTCAACCCTGTAAACGCAACTAGTTGTGTACACACCCACCCGCTCACCATACACATACACAAACATACCCACATGGACATGCAAATATAGGTTCCAAGGCTCCCTTCTGGAAACACAAATATTTAATTCCCTCAAAGGTATAATATACGACCACCAACTCTCAAATGAAAACAAATTTTGAATTTATTTCAAAATTGGGAAATTTTCGTACTCAGTACTCATTTAACTCGTTGTTTGTATATTAACTAACTGTACCTGGTTCAGTGTGAGTATATCGTAACCAATGATACGTTTTGAAATGAGAGATTATCATTCATATTCATCCGGCTGGCCGAAACGCTTTGCGTAATAATGGCTTTAGGCATTGTATGTACTAGCTCTATCTATAAATTCATCAATATTTGTATCACCCCTTGTATGTATGTACTTTACCTAAATAAACATTTGAATTTTGAATTTGAATTCATGTTCCTTTGTGATAAATGTTCGTTCCAAGGTGAAGTTACACAAACTGGAGGAACTATGATCTACAGCCTAGTAACACATTTTTTACCGATAAAAATATCAGAACAGGTTTTGGTGAATCTGTTTACCTCATAAACAGGCGGATGTTATCAAAGGCACGGGTAGGGGTACACTTCGACGGTGAAGCATATCAATGTGTTCGCCTCTGGAGAGGCCTTCTGATGGTAATGCTATACCGGTTCCAAAACAATTCTGCAACAGTTGTGACTCGGCAGATAATTACAATAATCATTACCTTCTGTCTTTGACTGGCGCGAATCTTGTACAGATGTTATTAATATTTTTGTAATGGGTTTGAACTAGTAAAACTGAAATGTTCCTTGCAACCTACATTGCATGACAATAAAATATTACTTGTTTCTTTGTCGCGTTAATTGTAAGTGATTCTCTGTTCATCTTGATTGCACTCAACTCATATTAGTGGCATGACTGTGACGTGCTTATCTGAGTCAAGCTAGATATAATAAAATAATCAACGATGTAGTTTGAATTTGTCTCCTGTGGATCTCATCCCATATATTGGCCTCCGAATGTATGCTAGAACTGATGAGTTAGGCAAAGCATGAGTTCTTAAATAGGGAGATGATTACCATCTTGGATTGTCTAAAAGCAGCCTGAGGGCAGCAATACCGAGAACTGAAACAAAATCTAGTTTACCTATGACAAAGTAAATTCACACCAGTTATTTCATCTATCATAATATTATACAGGAAGAGCCACATATCTATGGATCATCCAGTAAGGCTAGCAAACTTCTACTGTTAGACTTAATTGGAATCGGCTACAAGTTCCTCAAGAGTCTCCACCACCTGCTGGAGTAGATCTGACCAAATGTAACCTCAGTCAACAGAACTATTCACCATACCCTACGTCACTAAAATAAAATATTACTTGTTTCTTTGTCGCGTTAATTGTAAGTGATTCTCTGTTCATCTTGAACAGATAATGTGAAAAATTACACAATTCAGAGATAACAAACGTCAATTGATGTGCAAGTATTTATTTCAAAATGATATATTGCAAGAAATCTTAGCAAAATACCTGCTGAAGTTGGCTACTAGGACGTAGTGCGATCACGTACATGACTGGGCTTTCCACAGCTGCGGCCTACAGAATGGGTGCGAGGCGCACCATTGGTTACTGTGTAACCGGCTCAACACAGCTGTAAAAATGCTCAACTCAGAAACTACTGTGGGTTATTTATTGAACTATCTAGCTGTGATATAAAAGAATATTAATATATACAATAAATTGTCTAACTAACTTTACAAGATTGTGTTACGAGTACCGGTAAGATACACGCCTCTCTCGCCTATAAAAAGTCATAGACCCTTCACCCTGTAAATAGTCTAGAACCATTCATAGTTTTATTTGGTTACGTTTAAGGAAAAGAATGAACCCAGGATTTTGTGTTGTGTTGGTTGTAAGGCGGGTAAGAGGCCCGACCTGGGAGGAAAGATGGCTGAGATACCCAGGCTCAGGAGGAAGCGTTTCCCGCCGAAAGCAAACTAGAAGAGAGGACACTAGGTCTCCAGGAAAGTTGAAATTGTGATTGGCTGGCCGTCGGGTGCGCGGTCAATGAGAACAAGCCCTCGAACGGCGTGACGTAACGTCACCTTCCGAATCGTGGGCGATTCCCTCGCCCACGATTCATTATACTCGCTCTACTTCGAACTTATAACAAGCAAAGCCTGATATACGAATGCTTATATATAAGCCTTGTTATGTAACTGGGCATCTTCCAGTGCCCGATCGAGGCTAACTCTGTTTTTTGCCCCCTTCCTCCCGCTGGTCATTTTGGGGATGTGGGGTTTTTATAAAGCTTCGGAGCCTCCTTTAAGGTCATTTGGCGACTCTGCCCGGCGTTACAGGTGGCATTGGTCTGACTTCTCGTAGCTCTCATGCTGACATCATCGCCCAACTGAGCTGACAGCCTGATTATGACTGAGGTTAGCAGCCACTGTTAACTTAACGTACAGTGATCACCTCCTATAGCGCTCTTCTTAATAAAATCCAAGTCTTCAGAAGTGCGTAGCAGTTTTTTAGTTTAGTTTACTTATTATGCACCGCATATCCCATCCTGTGAGCGGTAGCGGACCATATACTCATCCAGTTATTGTCGCTATTGGACTCTTTGTACAGTTTGTGAGGGGTAGTAAACATCATTACTCAATATGAACGGTATTGGATCCAATACCTATCCTGTGAGTGGTAGTGGACCCCATACCAATCCTGTGAACAGTATTGGACCCCATACCCATCCGGTGATCGGTATTGAACCCCCATACCCATCCTGTGAACAGTAAATAGTGGGAAAGAATACACAGCCACATAATGGGCTCCGGAACTAAATCCAAACATTTGTTTAGTTAAGCAAGTTGCTTAGTTAAGTTTGCTTAGCTCATTTATGAGTTATTTACATTATTTAACATTACTAAATTAATAGTACCATCATAGTTTATCAAACTAACATCTCCGCGACCTCGAGAGTCTCTAACACAAAGAGTAAGAGTGTTATTTGAACCAATAATATCCAATTTACATTTTCCAATCATGCGCTCCACACCCATCCAGCGGGCGTCGGTGGAAAGGTACAATCACCTGCATGAACTAACTACAGTACTAGTTACACTCTCTATAAACGAACTATCAAATGAATCTGGTAAGATTAATTATAAAACCTGAATTTCTGAGGGGAAAAGAACTTACCAAATTTATACATAAACTTGAGTTCATCCAAAGCAGGAAAAAAAAAGAGGACCTTCGAACTGATGTCCTTCAGAGGAAGCCTAATCCAGACCAACCTTGGGTTGGGTGGGGCAGCGAGGGAGGGGGCAGGGAGACACGAGGATATATATAGAGGGCAGCTGCAGGTACCAAGAGATATCCTGTGTGGCGACGTTAACGAGTACGACGTCCACCGGAACAATGGTAATACGTGGTGTAGTCGTGTGGTAGTAGTGCTCATGTCAGCAGTGCTGGTGGGGCTGTTCTCGAGGCTGGTAGTGGTAGTGGTAGTGGTGGTGTTAATGATGGTGCTGGTTGGTGGTGATGCTTGTGTTGGTGTTAGTGACGGTGCTGTTGTTGTCTACAACATAAACAAAATTAATTGTGGAAGAGATTTAGAAAATTATTGACAATTTTTAACATGATATTTGAAGACTGCAGTTTTTTGCCATAGTACATAGTAAATAATTTTGGAATTGTAGAAGACATTAAAATTTGATACAATAACATAAATTATGAAAATTAGGCATGGGAGTGTTTATTAAGTGTAAATTTAGTAGTTATTATTGACAATAACAGAAAAACACAGGTTGACATGTAGGCTGATAAGAGGTTTCTGGTGTGGTGCCCGTTGCTTCTGTTACAGCCTAGGAAGCGCTTAAGGTCAGGATTAGCACTGCATTTCAGAATTTTATAGATATAAAGTATACTTGAGAGGATGTGCAGCAATGTAATATTTGACATATTCAATGATTTCAGTAAAAAAGCAGAGTGCTGCTGTCTGGGACAGGAATTTATTTGATATTGTTCTTATCGCTGTATTTATGAGGAGTAATTAGGAGTCGAAGGTAATTTTGAGTTGTAGATCCACAGGCATAGATGCCGTAGTTATCATAGATAAATGAGCGAATAATAAAGGGATACTAGGGCAGAACGAGGTACATAGTATCTGATGCTGGAGAGATTGCCAGCTGTTATATATATATATATATATATATATATATATATATATATATATATATATATATATATATATATATATATATATATATATATATATATATATATATATATATATATATATATATATATATATATATATATATATATATATATATATATATATATATATATATATATATATATATATATATATATATATTAACTTGTTGTCAGAGTGAGCACTAAGGAATTTCTCATCTTTCGTTTTTAATTTGGGTATTATTAATTCTTAGGTCAACTTGATTTATGATTCAAGGTGAGTTGTTAGCTGTCAGCCACATATGAACTTTTTTAGTTCTGTATTCACCGTGTCATTTAGAATAAATGATTTAGTATTGGAAAATATGAATGTTGTGTTATCAGAAAATGAACTAGCCTCTTGTATTGATTGCCATTTGGAAGGTCATTAATTTAAATGAAAAAGAGGAGTGGACCAAGTAATTATGAAAAAAAGGCACAAGCCTAGGAGACAATATAGCAAGAAGCGGACCAAGTATATCACCAATGTTTATTGGTAGGGTGGACGAAGTTGCATCGTTCCCAGATACATACTGCTGTATGTTACTGAAGAAAGATTGCAAGTACTGAAGGGAGTGTCCTCTGACTCCATAGCGATGCAGTATGACAATAATGATACTGTGCTGACCGCCCAAGGCGATGGGCCGGATTTACCCATCCTTCTTCCTAAGGACACAAGGACACCAAAGGGAAAAGTTTGATGACTTCGGGGATAATACAAAAAAGTAAAGCTTGTGGGTCTCCTGTACTAACACTTTAGAGTGAATAACAAATGTTTTACGCATTAAGAATATATATTATTCTCATACAAAACAATAATTCCATCCTTGTATGGCTAGCAAAGGAACTTGTCAATGTACACACGGGAGTTTGTTAAGGCATCCTGACACATGGTAATGTTTATAGCACAGTAACAGCATCATTGTTTAATAACAAGATTATCACGTGAAAGTTGACCACAGGCGGCCTGCCCGACAGTCTATTAATAAGTTCTCAAATCTTTGTCTCTCATTTTACATAATTTTAAAGTATACAAATTATGCATCAATAAGTATATAAAACTGTTATTAGTACATACTGTTCCATAAGATGATCTACAACTGACGTGTCTTCCTACAGAGAGCGAGAGTGTTATCGTCGGTGGTGGTGGCGCTGTTAGCGGTGTGGCAGCCGTCAGCAGCACGACCCCAGACCTCCCAACCCAGTGACATCGCCCATGTCCCCACCTCGAGCGGTGTAGAGGGCCCAGATCTCATCCTCGATGGCACACCAGTTGTAGACGTACGAGTAGGAGGAGTACCAGCTGTAGACGAACCAGCCGTTGACAAGCAGGCGGAACCTCAACCACTGTCGGTGGACAAAAGGACTGGTCTTAGCGCCTGGCCAGGATCTTCTGGATTATCTGCAGGAGATCCTGGTCCAAACTTCGGCCAGAACTTGCCCGCCTTGTCCGCAGGAGGGACAGGATCTTTAGGACTTTCAGCTGGATCTGGTGCTGTCTTTAGGACGGGATCAAGTGGATTTCCAGGAGGATCTGGCACAGGTTTTCAAGGAGAAGCTGGCGCTGACTTCGGGGCTGGATCAGGTGGATTTCCAGGAGGATCTGGCACAGGTTTTCAAGGAGAAGCTGGCGCTGACTTCGGGGCTGGATCAGGTGGATTTCCAGGAGGATCTGGCACAGGTTTTCAAGGAGAAGCTGGCGCTGACTTCGGGGCTGGATCAGGTGGATTTCCAGGAGGATCTGGCACAGGTTTTCAAGGAGGAGCTGGCGCAGATTTTCAAGGAGGAGCTGGCGCTGACTTCGGGGCTGGATCAGTTGGATTTCCAGGAGGATCTGGCACAGGTTTTCAAGGAGGAGCTGGCGCAGATTTTCAAGGAGGAGCTGGTGCTGGATCAGGTGGATTTCCAGGAGAATCTAGCACAGGTTTTCAAGGAGGATCTGGTGCTGACTTTGGGGCTGGACCAGGTGGATTTCCAGGAGGATCTGGCGCAGATTTTCAAGGAGGATCTGGCGCAGATTTTCAAGGAGGATCTGGTGCTGGATCAGGTGGATTTCCAGGAGGATCTGGCGCAGGTTTTCAAGGAGGAGCTGGTGCTGACTTCGGGGCTGGATCAGGTGGATTTCCAGGAGGATCTGGCACAGGTTTTCAAGGAGGATCTGGTGCTGACTTCGGGGCTGGATCAGGTGGATTTCCAGGAGGATCTGGCGCAGGTTTTCAAGGAGGAGCTGGTGCTGACTTCGGGGCTGGATCAGGTGGATTTCCAGGAGGATCTGGCGTAGGTTTTCAAGGAGGAGCTGGTGCTGACTTCGGGGCTGGATCAGGTGGATTTCCAGGAGGATCTGGCGCAGGTTTTCAAGGAGGAGCTAGTGCTGACTTCGGGGCTGGATCAGGTGGATTTCCAGGAGGATCTGGCGCAAACTTTCAAGGAGGATCTGGTGCTGACTTCGGTGCTGGATCAGGTGGATTTCCAGGAGGATCTAGCACAGGCTTTCAAGGAGGATCCGGTGCGGACTTTGGGGCGGGATCAGGCGGGTTTCCAGGAGGATCTGATCCACCTTTTGTGACAGGATCAGGCGGATTTGTAGGAGGATCTGACCCTGATTTTAGGGCGGGGTCAGCCGGAGCCTCAGGAGGGTTTGGGGCCGGGAGTGCAACGCCCTCAGCAGTTTCGTCTGTTACTGGCACTGGAGGCGGGTTTTCCTTGGCGTCAGCTGTATCCGGTAGTTCTGGAACTTTTGGTACGCAGGGCATTTCCAGTCAGGGAGGCTTGCGGGTTGAAGTTCCTTCACCGGGAGCTTCCGTAAAGGTAGATGTTGATTCTTTTGTTAGTCGTCCACAAAGTAGTGGAGGAGGTGACCTAGGAAAGTTCGTCGGTATTATAAAGCAAGGATCTAGTGGTAGTGGGCAGTCTTCGTCCGGTGGAGGAGGAATCCTGAATGTGTTGTCATCGCTGCTTAGTGGCAGCGCTGGAAGTGTAACGCAAGTAAATAAGAACCCACTGAGTGCACTTGGGCTGGGGCAGGAAACTCTCCAATCATTTGTTCAGTTAGCGTCTTCGTCTGCCGACGACATCGCTCGTGAAACTAATTTTGGACTAAGGCTTCTAGGAGATGAGCTTGAGTTTCAGGGTCAACAAAGACTAAAACACGCTCTTAGAGGTGTCCAGCAAGCAGGTCGAACGGTCGGGGCTGTTGGACAAAACACGTACCGTGGTGTGTTGCAAACAAAAGATTCTTTGGGCAGCTTAGCATCAGGAACAGTGCAGAACTTAGGAGAATTTGCAGACGACTCAGTCACGGCGTCGTTTGACAAGGTCTCTGATACCCTCGGCGCATTTGGACGCCTTCTTCATGACCTCAAGACGGCATTCTTTAAAAATGTCATCGCACATGCTGAAGCTGGACAAGAACTGGTGGATAACCAGTCCAAGACGACTTCAAGCGCCGTCAAGGAGATACTTGACGATAAACGCGGTGTTGCGAGAGACAACATTCGCGCCATAACAGGATTAAAAAAGGAAATTAAATCGAAGAGAATATAAGTCCTTGTGAGACCAGTTTGAGCAACATACACGAATAAGTAATATTCGTGTATGCAATACAGGACTTAACAGAAATAGTAAGTACATACGGAAGCAGACATTTGCGTGTCTGTTTCAGTACTTCAGTTTGCTGAAGTGCTGACGAACGTTTATTCCAAGTGTTTGATAATGTAAAAAAAAATATTTAGCACTTGATTTGATGTTGGGTTTAAGGCCTATCAACCGCTGGAGAGTTAGTAAGGCCACCACGAGAGCGTACAGACCATCCATGAAGTATACTTTAGTCCTGGACATAAAACACGTCTGAAGTAAACTTTAACTGCATGTACACCGAGAAGCAGAAAACACCTCTTGACGCATCGTACGAGGCACCTCTCGCCTGCAGGAGACCCCAGCCACACTCTACACCTCTCACCACCAGGAGGAGACCCCCAGCCACACTCTACACCTCTCACCAGCAGGAGGAGACCCCCAGCCACACTCTACACCTCTCACCAGCAGGAGGAGACCCCCAGCCACACTCTACACCTCTCACCAGCAGGAGGAGACCCCCAGCCACACTCTACACCTCTCACCAGCAGCAGGAGACCCCCAGCCACACTCTACACCTCTCACCAGCAGGAGGAGACCCCCAGCCACACTCTACACCTCTCACCAGCAGCAGGAGACCCCCAGCCACACTCTACACCTCTCGCCAGCAGGAGGAGACCCCCAGCCACACTCTACACCTCTCACCAGCAGGAGAGGCTACTAGTCACACTCGACGTTTATTAACCTGCAGGAGGGGACAGCTAGCCACAGTGGACGCCAGGAACTAGCTGCCCCGCTCTAGCAGGAGGTGGACACACAACACAAGTGGCTGGGTCGTCGCTGGTGGACAAGCCAGACACCTTCCAGCAACACTGTCAACACCTCTCGCTACCTGCATGTTACTCACGAGGGCAAAGATTCACATTGTGGATACGCAATACAAGGAAGATGCAAGGAAGCCCCTTGTGCTTTCCATATATATACTCTTTACCAAGAATCCAGTTTCCTACACAGGGTTTACTCTACTGACGAATGTATAATAAAGCAACTGTATAACTTACTGATGTATTTCTTATCCCTTAGCACTGAATACAACAAAAACAATAATCAGAGACGCTTTGTTATTAAGAACGACAGGTATGGCTGTTGTGTTGAATTCCATGTGTATTAAAAAACCTGCTTCCTATATATATATATATATATATATATATATATATATATATATATATATATATATATATATATATATATATATATATATATATATATATATATATATATATATATATATATATGTCGTACCTAGTAGCCAGATTTCACTTCTCAGCCTACTATTCAAGGCCCGATTTGCCTAATAAGCCAAGTTTTCATGAATTAATATATTTACTATAATTTTTTTCTTATGAAATGATAAAGCTACCCTTTTCACTATGTATGAGGTCAATTTTTTTTTTATTGGAGTTAAAATTAACGTAGATATATGACCGAACCTAACCAACCCTACCTAACCTAACCTAACCTATATATGGAATAGGTAAGGTTAGGTTAGGTAGCCGGGAGGAGTGGTGACAAAAAAAGCTAGGTTAGGTTAGGTTAGGTAGGTTAGGTTGACGACCGGCGAAAAAACATTAATTCATGAAAACTTGGCTTATTAGGCAAATCGGGCCTTGCATAGTAGGCTGAGAAGTGAGTTCTGGCTACTAGGTACGACATATATATATATATATATATATATATATATATATATATATATATATATATATATATATATATATATATATATATATATATATATATATATATATATATATATATATATATATATATATATATATATATATATATATATATATATATATATATATTAATTTTCCATCACGTTTCCAGCAGAGAGAACCGGGCAGATTTCTCAAAACGTGTACTCTTTAAAGAAAGATATTTACAAGGGACAGTGGAACGCCGTCTCCGCTAAGTTTCATGGGCGCAAATCAACCCTGGACGAACTCCAAACTGTTCAAATCAAATCAAATGTTTATTCAGGTAAAGTACATACATACAAGGTGAGATACAAACATTGATGGATTTATAGATAGAGCTAGTACATACAAAGCCTAAAGCCACTATTACGCAAAGCGTTTCGGGCAGGTTATCAGAACGTTCTGTTATCAGAAAGGTAAAAGCTAAAATCATCAACAGATCCCTGAATTGCCTCGTAGACGAGTTGAATTCAGAATCTGTGTTATCCCCATCTGCTGATAATTACCTTACTTTACCGTACCCAACTAAGTTATTCCGTCGCGCTGATCCATCTTCCAGTCCCAACCATAATATTGGAGATCCCAAAGGTAAACACACATATAGCACACCTGCACGAGCAACAAATATGCCCGGGCAACACAAACACAAATACATTATAAACCAGTTTTAACTGTGACGTCAATTTACAACAGTCTGCCAAAGAAAATACTCAAACCCGATTGACGTTTGATCTTTGACGAAGCGAATAAAACGCAATATCGTAGTGAACGAAAGCTTAGCGACAAAGCCTCATGAAGCTGCAAGATTTAGTTACAATACTTAGTTAAAACACGTGAACCTGATAATGATAAATGTATATATCGTAAAGTTTTAAGATTCAGTGGTATAAGCTTATAAAGCTGAAAGATGCCACGTTAATTAAAACTTCATAAAAATGCAAAAAACCTATGAACGTGAAATTGTTCAATAGCAAGACCTCATAGAACTTCAAAGTTCAATGTTACAGCAACAAAAACTAATTAAAGGTATACAAGGTTCAATGGCAAAACCCTGATATAATGTACAAGGTCACATGCTAAAAAAATTAGGATAAAGAAACGATTACGTAACGTCATACGAACGGACACGCAATATACAGAACGATTTCCGATCAGGCACGCAATATACAGAATGCCGCATTAGTGGACAGGCAATAAACCGATCGTACGAACGGACGCTCAAAATACAGTTATCCTGCTACATACGCAATATATAGAATGTCATAGATGTGGTCACGCATTATACCGATCGTACGAACGGATGTGAAATATACCGATCATACGAACAAACATGCAATACACCGAACGTGGTAGGGACGGACATTCAATACACCGAACCTCGTAGGAACGGACACGCAACATCACCCTGTGAATAAAAACGAAACTTAGACTCCGGCTGGTGGAGCCTAGGCTAAGGTGATCTTCAAACACCGTTAAGTAGGCTGGGTGACGCCTCCAGGGCGACTTGCCAGCCACCAGCCTCTCTAGGTCAACTACTTCTGTCCTCTGTGTGAGTTTTTTTCCTCCAGGAGGAAGGTAGTTTTTGCTTGTTTTGCGGATGGGGATATGAGGCTGTGGTGGTTATTACTCTTGATCTTGGGGGGATGATGCTGGTGAGAAGGATTTAGGGTGGCAATTATTTATGATGGCAATGCTAATTAATGGGGTGAAAAATTATGTTATGAATAATGATAATGGTGATGGAAAATGGAAACAGTGAAAAAAGAGAGACGAAACCAGTACCTAAGACAAAGAAAGAGAGAGAAAAAAGACAAATACAAAATAGATACACAGAAAAAAGGAAAAACTGACAGAAATAGCAATATATGAATTGAGACAAAGAGAACCACAAAAAAGTGATATAAAATGAGACGCGGGAAGAGAAAGATTTGACGGAGATAAATTGGAGGTAAATAGAGGAAAAGTGAGAGAACAAGAATAATAGAAGAAGCAAACAAAAGAATGAGAACATCGCTCTGCAACCCAAATCAATAATGCAACAAAACTTTGGTAAAAAATAATGAGGCCGAAGATATTTAGCTCTTGAATTTATATCTCTGCAATAAAATATGTCTGTCTGTCTACCAGACTCGTTGTCTGTCTGGCTGCCTGTCCAAAGTAGGAAGCCAGACGCTAGGGCTAGTCTCACTCAACTTTCCAAGATGAAACACTTGGGGTATGGGAGTGTCGTAGGCCAGTCAGGGCCGGCATATGTGCCACCCTTTATAAAAAGTATCGCCATCTATAGAGACCGTCACAATTTTCATCATGTCAGCAATGAAACCACGAATGTATTTTCCGTAGAGATTGTGTACTTGAGGTCGATCTCGAACCCATTGTTGATGTGATGACTTATATTGAATTTTGTAACTAGCTCATCAAGATTGTAACTTGCTTAGCTAAATGAATTGTGGGGTTCAGTCCCTGAGCCCATTATGTGCCTCTGTAACCCTTTCCACTACCGCCCACAAGATGGGTATGGGGTGCATAATAAATGAACTAAACTAAACGTAGAGATTTTAAAAAGTTTTTCAGTGCTTTGTAATAAATTTTTCGAGAGATAAAGATGGCAGAAGAGGACGGGGGTAGGCATGGGGAGGGGACGTGAAAGGGAGAGAGGCAGGAAAGAGTGAAGAGGGAAAGAGATGGGGATGTTGAGGGAGAGGGGGAAGAGAGATGAGAGAGATCCGGGCACAGCTGGGTAGTCTATGTAGTTATCAATATATTGATGCAATATGTTGCATAAACAAGTGCTGAGACTCCGATTGGAGGCCCCGTGGCTGGTGTTGGAGGCCCCGAGGCTGGTGTTGGAGGCGGCGAGGCTGGTGTTGGAGGCCCCGTGGCTGGTGTTGGAGGCCCCGAGGCTGGTGTTGGAGGCGGCGAGGCTGGTGTTGGAGGCCCCGAGGCTGGTGTTGGAGGCGGCGAGGTTGGTGTTGGAGGCCCCGAGGCTGGTGTTGGAGGCCCCGAGGCTGGTGTTGGAGGCCCCGAGGCTGGTGTTGGAGGCCCCGAGGCTGGTGTTGGAGGCCCCGAGGCTGGTGTTGGAGGCCCCGAGGTTGGTGTTGGAGGCCCCGAGGCTGGTGTTGGAGGCGGCGAGGCTGGTGTTGGAGGCCCCGAGGCTGGTGTTGGAGGCCCCGAGGCTGGAGTTGGAGGCCCCGAGGCTGGTGTTGGAGGCCCCGAGGCTGGTGTTGGAGGCCCCGAGGCTGGTGTTGGAGGCCCCGAGGCTGGTGTTGGAGGCCCCGAGGCTGGAGTTGGAGGCCCCGAGGCTGGTGTTGGAGGCCCCGAGGCTGGTGTTGGAGGCCCCGAGGCTGGTGTTGGAGGCGCGTTACACCACCAGGCAGGAAGGTACGGGGGTCGTCCTCTAGGCAGTGACTTGCAAGAGGTCGCCAGTGTTGTCGACTCATGCGGCCTTCATCACGCACAACGTGCCCATTTTAACAAGGCGATCCAGTTTGCTCTAATTACCATAAAAAGCGACCGGGCTTATCCCCGCGCCTTGGTTACAGCTACGGGCAATACACACCACAAATTATGGTATATTTCCAGAATTTTGTCGTGACGTATTGACCCCCAAGACCCATGCTGAAGAAAACATACTGACCAGCAATGCTATCATATCTACTAACATCTTTCTATATCGCTGATTTAAGTGTATAGGGCAGACCAACATTATCATATTTATATTCCGTAGCAAAGGTCGTGATGGTCACAAACCTCTGAGTCTACCCTGTGAATAGTGTCCACTCATGAGTTTGAAATTAATATTATTTCCTGCTTGAGTATATTTTTAATGTCTGCATTTTATACTTAACCGTTCGACTTGTCTGAAGGAGCTTCGTGGTTCGTTTTTTTCCTCGACTTCTGTCGCCTTCGACTGTTGATTGTTTTCATGACGACTCTTGTGAATGTTCCTCCAGCTCATGGGTAGAACCCAGGCCACTGTGTGTCGTGTTGGTGACGCACTGTACTGTCTCAGATAACAGTGACACGCAAAGTACTGTCTCAGGTAACAGTGACACGCACTGTACTGCCTCAGGTAACAGTGACACGCACTGTACTGCCTCAGGTAACAGTGACACGCACTGTACTGCCTCAGGTAACAGTAACACACACTCTACTGCCTCAGGTAACAGTGACACGCACTGTACTGCCTCAGGTAACAGTGACACGCACTATTTAACAAAAGATTATTTACAGCACATCCGCAAAGACATTTACCACAGTTTGGGGTCAAAAGTATAAAAACAGTTCTTTGTAGACGTTTTCTGCTAATAATTCATAGAAAACCAATTGTAATGAACGTCTGAGCACGCACACACTCGCGCATACACACACAGATGATTTTGACAGTTGAGAGGCGGAATCAAGAGCCAAAGCTCAACCCCCACAAGCACAACTAGTTGAGTTAAACTACGTGAGTACACACACATTTTCCCAACGTTGTCATTCTGTCTCTCATCTGTTTATAAATCCAACTATCAATATTCAACCATCTGATTCTAAATTTATCCATTCATCCATGTATTTATTCAAACATCTACTCATCTATTCATACATTCATATATTTACCTGTCTGTATGTCCATCCATCCATCAGAGGATACACAATAGGCTTAGGGACTGAACCCCACAATACATGCTCGCTCACCCTCATACCTGGTCGGGTGAGTTAGTTCAGTTCAAATCCACAAGGGCCGTGACGAGGGTTCGAACCTACGTCCAAGAGGATCCCAGACGCTGCCTTAAACGACTGAGCTACGACATGGTTAAAAGAATTGCAACCCGGAAATCATCCTGATTTTACCCCTGTGGATTTGTTCATTTGATGCATCACGCTATTGTGATTTCCGTGTGTAATTAGTTTAGTTCGTTTAGTATATATGATATACCCATATTGTGGGAGACAGTGGACCCCATATCCACATTAAATCAAGCATGGCAACCTCTAGTCATGAACAGTTTGCAACAATATATTTATGACAAATAATACGGTTTGCATTGATGCTCTTACACATTTACTTGGGACCTGATTTAGTGAATTGTGGGGTTCAGTCCCTGAGCCCATTATGTGCCTCTGTAACCCTTTCCACTACCGCCCACAAGATGGGTATGGGGTGCATAATAAATGAACTAAACTAACCTGATTTAGTCAATCATAATGATAATAATGTTTATTTATTTAGGGGAATAAATTTCTGGGGCAACTCATTAATAATGGGCATCATAAATAATCGTAACATTATATTAATTCATTTTTTGTTGTATTAAAAATATAAAATACGAGTCAACAACGTTTCGCTCGGAGATACCTGAGTTTACCTAAATTTACCTGAGAGCCACTAACACTAGTGGCCTCGACGAGGACAGGAAGCCGGTGGCATGTCGAAGATCCCCCCCTCCCCCCATTTCTCTTGATGATCTTTTCCAGTTGTACTTTAAAAGTTAACAGAGTTTTGGCATTTACGTCTTCAGCGGGTAGGCGGTTCCATGGGTTAATAACCCTGTGGGTGAAAAAGCATCTCCTGTTTTCAGTCCAACATTGTGGCTTGTTGAGCTTGAAACCGATGCTCCTTGTTTGTGTTACATATGATATTCTGAAGAAATTGTCCTTATTCTTATTGAACTCATTTAACCCATAATTAATTAAGACTATGGTTATTGTTTACTTAAGGATTAAATTCACACTGCACAAACAAGTTACGGGAAGAATGTACGATTGCTAGGTACATGCAAGTAACTAAGCTATAACTAATTGTAATTATTAAATAATACTAAATAATATTATTTAATAAATTAGTCCCAAGTCAATGCAGGGTTTTCTTCCAAGCACAGAAACTCTTGTAAATATAAATACAAAATAATAGATTGATCGATAAATAGATAAACAACTTTCAAATATTGCATCAAGTGAGGGCGAGAAGAAAATACTAGACCGTATACATTACATTTGTAATTAATAATGGATGAATGGTAATAAATTGATGTACAGTTGTGTGTATACCGGACAAAGTCTATTTAATGGCAGAATTTAGCCATTTTGTGGAAAAACTTCTATGTCTCATATTTTAATTATAATAGTAATCTAAAAAAGTCATAGTTTGTATATACAAGAGATGAAACAGAGAGCCATGAGCTAGATCAATGTACGGAGTCCATAAGGAGGCGGAGCTTCCAGAAATACCTTCCTGTGATTGGCTGTTGCGGGGAATGCCAACACTCTTTTATGAATAAAATTTAAACTAAAAAATAGGTCTTTGTGCACAACAACAAGGTTGTTGTGGAAAAGAACAACAATTTCTGTTTTGTACCTGACAGAAATTTCCATCTAACTGAATTACCTAGTCGAATAAGAGGGCAGAGCATCGTATCCTCAATGTTATTTCTGTCGAGGCAACTCCCCCAATAATGACGTCACAAGTTAGGTAGCCAGCCAGCCCACTTTTATATAACACCCGTTATATCCTACAATATTTAATTATCACTTTATTAACACTTTAAGCAATTAACACTTCACTTTTTGAGTAAATTAAAGTTAAAGCAGAATTTCATAAGCAGGGACTGGTGGGCTGAACTAAGATGATTTACTAAGTGGATGGCACCTTTAACTGATCCCTTTCTGTGATTGGCTGTTGTGTGAATGTCAACAAAGAGTTTCTACCAATGATATGTCATTGATTATGCACCCCATACCCATCTTGTGGGCGGAGCTTGGAACCTCCTACCCGAGCCCAACAACTCGCCTTATGGGTTGCTGTTTGGCTATTTATAGTTAGTTGGAAAAAAGAGAGATGGCGTTAGTGGTATTTTGTGGGGTAATTTGTTATAAGTGTAATTTGATGTCAACAGATGGCGTAAGCTGTACCTTATGGCCACTATTAACCTGCCAGTTGATAGTGTTCTCGTCTGCCGACAGATGGCATCAGCTGTATCATTATTACTTCCGAATTCCCTTTAAACACTGATCTACAAATCTCTTCGCTTATGATAAGGATTTTTACCATTTATGATAAGGATTAGATAAGGACGTTGTGCAGGCGGTGAGTTTAATTCGCTAGTAACATCAATGTTTATTTATTTATTTATTTATTTATTTATTTATTTATATACAAGAAGGTACATTGGGAGTTAACAGAGAACATAGAAATTAAGTTGAATTTACATTCTTGTAAAGCCACTAGCACGCATAGCGTTTCGGGCAAGTCCTTAAACTAACAGATAATTTTTAGATAATTAACAGTAAAATTGACAAAAGATGTTTACAGGTACTTTACAGCTTTACAGGTACAGATAATTTTAAGTAGAATAATTACAGTAAAATTGACAAAAAATTTTTACAGGTATATTGCAAGAAATTTTGATACAAAAGCAGATTAGAATAATACACAATAATGAACAAGGATTACTAGGTACATTAGGATAACATTTCAAGGAATAATGCAATAGAATATGCACTCAATACAACAACCATGATATCTAAGATAACAATGGTAAAGTAATATGGCTTAGGTGCAAATATTGGGGGATTGGGTAGCACTAGATACAGTACGAAGATAAAGCAATAGGTAGAAAACTATGAAGATGAAATTGGGTACTTTTTGGTTTTATTTTTGAATAAGGCAAAAGTTGGACAGCTTTTCAATTCATTAGGGAGTGAGTTCCATAGATTAGGTCCCTTTATTTGCTTAGTGTTTACACAGATTAAGTTTGACTCTGGGGATATCAAAAGGGGATTTATTTCTAGTGTGATGATTATGGATTCTATTGTATGTGTCCAGGAAGAGTTTTAGAACAGGATTTGCATTTAAGAAACTCATCGAAACTGCTAAAATACTGAACAAGTTGGATGGTGATGATCCTGACAATTTCTTCAAACTGTCAGATGTAACACAAACAAGGAGCAAAGGTTTCAAGCTCAACAAGCCACAATGTTGGACTGACGACAGGAGATGCTTTTTCACTCACAGGATTATTAACCCATGGAACTGCCTACCCGCCGATGCCGTAAATGTGAAAACTTAAGTTTTAAAGTACAACTGGAAAAGATCATCAGGGCAAATGGGAGGACCTTCGACAAGCCGCCGGCTTCCTGTCCTCGTCGAGGCCACTAGTGTTAGTGGCTCTCAGGTAAAGTTAAGTCAAACTAGCTGTGGCTGGTGGCAACAAGATAACTATTTCAACTAAAGATAAATAATGTGCTATAGCCTGTCTGGGACGTTCTCCCGGGATATCTCGTTCGTCTTGGCCTGCTTTAGTACAAATATTCAAGACACATTTATTTACGAGATATATATGCAATATATATATTGCATATAAGCATGTAACAAAGTGCTTTATTATTAATAAATATATTGAATTATATTCGGCGGTTGCTTAGTGGGGTCGCTGAGTCGTGTTTGTTGTTGCTATGTGTTGTGGTTCACAGTGTGTTGTGGAGGCGAGAGTGTGGAGGTCAAGCACTTGGTGTACCTGGGCCCTCTCCTGCTACTCTCTCTCTTTATCTCACTCTGGTCTACCTCACCCACCATGTTGAGTGCCAGGTTTATGTCAGGTAATGTATATATCTGTTTAGACCTAATGACAAGCTCTGTTAACTAGACACCTGAGGCTCCGGTGAATTGTGTAGTCGGCGGAGGGGGTTATATAAGACTTTTTAACTACAGTATAGGTTATATAAGACTACTACATCATGCCCGTCATCACCCAGGTAAAATCTGCTATCAGAACAATAACAAACTCTGTTTTCAGACAATACACAGCCCCCTGTGTTTAAATCCCTTGACATGCTAAACATAAACTCGTTCCACACATTCTCATGGGGCCATTTACATGTACAAAACCTTGTTCCTAAATGCAAATCCTGATCTGAAACTCTTCCTTGACAGATGTAATAGAACCAACCCATAATCATTACACCAGAAATAAATATATCTGATATCCCCAGAGTCAATCTAAGTGTCAAAACACCATGCAAATAAAGGGACCTTGTCTATGGAACTCACTCCCTAATTAATTGGAAAGCTGTCCAACCTATGCATTATTCAAAAGTAAAACCAAAAAATACCTAATTTCATCCTCATAGTTTCCTGCCTAGTGTTTCAAACTTGCACTGTATCTTGTGCTACCCACTCCTCCAATATATTTATTTATTTATTTATTTATTTATATATAGAAGAAGGTACATTGGGATTGTGAGGATACATAGCATAGTAATTACATTCTTGTAAAGCCACTAGTATGCACATATGTGCCTTAGCCATACATTTTCACCATTGTAATCACTGCTATCATCTTATATCATGGATGTTATGTTGAATACAAATTTTACTACAATATCCTCAAATTATGTACCTGTACCTGTTGATAATTCTCAAATTTTACCATAATGCACCCACTAATTTTCTTCAGATTTTCATGCAATGTACCTGTTGACATTTTTCAATTTTGCTACAAATTACCTACTTAAAATTATATGCTAGATTAAGCACCTGCCCAGAATGCTATGCGTGTTAGTGGCTTTACAAGACTAAAAACGTCAATGTTATACAGTATACTCTCATAAAACCCAATGTACCTTCTTGTATATACAGTATATATATAAATAAATACAGTAAATAAATAAACTTACACCAGTGGCTGGACCCATCTTCTGGGGCAATTTAAGGCATTACAAACTCCACCAATCCACTCAGTCCACATAAATGTAGATAGAATTACATGAAGCCTGCGAAGGTAGAGAAAATGTTTCTAATTGGCTCCACCAGTTAACCGAATTCACATGCAGTGTAAGTGCTCCATCGAGGTGATTTATTATTATCATGTTTGTAATGTGGGTGAGATGATTTCCTGTAGTCAGGGACAGGATGCCTGTTATCCTTATGAAGGTCTCTTTGCCAACGATTCACTGTGCCCTGGATGATACCCATAACTCTCATTGATAACAAGCTGAATTTGCAGTATCACATTCAAGATATAGCAAAAAGTTTCTAAAACTGTTCACATTCTTTCTAAGATCAGATATTATGTACCTCCCCCTGCCCTGGTGACACACTATTACTCTCTCATCTATCCTTATCTGAATTATGATATTTGTGCTTGGGTTCATCTACCCAAAATCATCTACATCCTCTAATTACTCAATACAAAGCTGCTAATGTCAAACTCTGGCCCCAGACAGCACTTGGTACCCTTACTTAAATCTTTGAATATGTTAGATATTAAGTCATTGCACATCCTCTCAAGTGTACTCTATATATTTAAGACTCGGAACTGTAATGCCAATCCTGACCTTAAATGCTTCCTAGAAGGTTGTAACAGAACCCATGGGCACCACACCAGAAACAAATACCTATTTGATATTCCAAGAGTGTGCCTTAACCATACTAGAAATGTTCTACAAATCAAGGTACCCAGAATGTGGAATGACCTTCCCAATCATGTCAAAGGCTGTATGTACCCCTCTCAACCCGTTTAAGAGAAAAGCTAAGTACAGTACTACCTAATAAACTCCATGTAACCTACCTTACCCCCTAAATGTCAACCCATGTCTTGCTTTTTTCAAACAATACTGTATGTTGACCAACTTGTATAACTGCTGATTTCTGCCATGTCCCCCCCCCCCCTCTCCTCTTTTTCAACTCAATTTATGCTCAATTAGTATTAAATTTTAGTCTAAATGTGTGTTTTCCCCACACCTTGCCTGAAATGCTGTGCGTATTAGTGGCTTTAGGTATTGTATGTACTAGCTCTATCTATAAATCCAACATTATGTTTGTAACTTATCTTCTATGTATGCACTTTTACCTGAATAAACATTTGAATTTGAACAGTTGCCAAACTCCTAGATATTTATTGACTGTTAGGCAACATGGGTGAAAAACATGTTTTCTGTCATACATTATCTTGTTGACCATAAAGCTATTGCCCCTTGTTTGTTACATTTGAGCTTTAAAAGAAGTGGTCTGGATTAATATGCTCCAACATGTTCAGTATTTTAAAGGTCTCAATGAGATCAGCCCTGTCATGTCTGGTTTGCAGTGTTGTTACTCTTATGGCCCTCAACCTTTCCTGGTGTAAAAGTTGACCGAGTTCTGGAATGACTTTTCTCACTCTCATGTGTTGAACTTTCTCCAAAACAGCTATGCCCTTCTGAAGATGAAGTCCACATGTAATCCATAATACAATAATATCAGGGATTTGTACAGATAAATAATTATTTTTTTTTTTCCATGAAATCAAAGGTTTGTTTGAATATTCTGAGGGTTTGTATGGGTATTTTCTACTGCAGCTCCCTTTTGTTATGCCACTTCAGTGACTGGTGGATTCTGATTACTAGGTCTTTTTCCTCATCAGTCTACTGCATAATGATGTTGTTCATTTTATAGTTATGATGTGCATTGTTATGCCCCACTTATGGAGTTCATGTAGATCTGTTTGTAATGCCTCAATATCATTTTTACTTCTACACTACCATGTCGATATCTGTCATTGATGTATATGGCAAAAAAAGGGATGGCCTTAAAATGGAATTGTGTGGTACCCTACTCATCACGTTTTTCTAATCAGATTGATTTCCATTTGAAATGACCCTTTGCTTTCTTTGTCTTAACCATTGTTTATCCATTATAGACTAGTATTTTAAAAACACATACAGATATAAATAAGTGGTAATTTCCTTGCCTTTTTTTTGTCCAGTAATATCAGATCATGTTACTCATTGGTTAGAAAGGAATGAGCCACCAAATATTAGAGTGGTCAGTGCCTGTGGCCAACCAATATGCAGTGCTTGTGTCCATACGTAAAGAGGTTAGACCTGTAGGTACCAAGTACAGTACAGTATATTATTACAGGAATGATTTACAATAGCGTTGAAAGAATATATAAATATACAGGTGAAATTCCTGTGCAAATAGGTGACATGAATATCTGGCAGAACACCTATCATGCACCATAAAGCCATCTGGCTACATGCTTGTATTAAGGTCATAAATATTGCGTTTGCATATCAGGTTGTAGTATAATTGTACAGTAAAGTATAGAAAAATATCCCTTGCTACTTATACTATAGATTATTCGTAAAGTTATTATTTGTATTTTTAAATTTGATTTGAATACAACTTGCGTGCAGGCTGGATACCTGCAGGCTCACCCCACACAGTTATTAGGTTCTGGGTCAAAACCAGACAGCAGTGAAAGTGTTATAAAATTCTGTGATATTGGTTTAAAACAATATGGGGATATTAGTTTAAATCAGTGAGATGTTATTTGTTTAAATCAGTACAGTAAAGTATAATATTTGTTTGCACAATGATTTCAGCACACTCTGTGCCCTGTCTTATGTATGTAATTGAAATACATTTTTACACATCCCAGGGTTGTTGCGGTTGAGCCCATCAGTGCTTAGTGTACGTGCAATGTCAGCCCAACCAGGCGATGGATACACCTTCGAGACACTGGCAGTTTCTGTGCCAAAAGATCACGTCTTCCATGTCCAACTCAACCGAACAGAAAAGCTTAATGCGTTGAATAAAATTATGTGGAGGTAAAGTTTGCTTAGTTTTACATCACTTTTGTAGTGGGTTTATTGGTTGTACTATTTAATCCTTATATACTGTATATGGTGATTAAAATGTTCTATTTCAAATTTTATTTTCAGTTATCTTTTCTTGGCAGGCACTAAATATATACAGTAGTACAGTACTGTATCTCCTAAATGGGGCTATAGTAGTTTTTGCTTGTAATCAATTTGTAGATGCATGGTGGACAGACTGACTAATCAGCCATACCTACCGAGATAAATGTCAGTTTACTCGACTTGATAATGGCCCAGGACGGACTGAGACATCATCATTTATTCATTTTCTAATGTGTAGGTTGGGTATCAACTCTTCAGCCAGGTTATTGTGACTCATCGTCTTCATCAATTTACAGAATGTATTTGGAAAATAATACATAGTTAAATGTGAGAAATATGATTATTATTGCATTTGATGTACATCAGATGTTATTAATATTGGAACTGGCTTTCAATGGTAAACATGCATCTACATACCATATATTTTATGAGAAGTCAAAGTTTAAGGAGATTATGATGCTTGTCTTTGTAGACTGTCTTTTGTTGCTCACCACAGATAATTTACCAGAGTTGCTCGCAGCCTGGTTGATTAGGTATCCTTTGGAGGTGCTTGTCAAGTTCTCTCTTGAACACTGTGACAGGTCGGCCAGTTATGTCCCTTAAGTATAGTAGCTACAGTTAAGGATTAGCATCCGGTCAATGCTCCACGGCCAAATTGCTGGCGAAGTGCAGGGCAAGTGTCTTGCCACTGCTTGCCATGGAGACTTGTTATTGTCAATGATGTCAGTGGTACAAAACCCCTCACATGATCCACATGTTGACACCATAAACATGTATGATATGTGGTGGTGTTTCTATTTCTCAATTACACTTTGCTAGGAATTACCATTACAGTATTGATGACCACACTATATTACCATTACAGTACTAGCAATTATTTTACATAACATTTTTCTTTCTTTAAATGCTAAGTACACTAAGCACATGATGTGCATAACTTTTTTCTGTATACAGGGAAGTAGGCGAGTGTTTTGATAAGCTGGCCGAGGACCCGGACTGCAGGGCAGTGGTGCTGAGTGGTACTGGCAAATTGTTTACCACAGGCATTGACCTTGGTGATTTAACACAAATGGCTGGCATTGTTATGAGCGATGATGATGTGGCTCGTAAATGTCGCGCATTACGGAAAATTATATCAAGTTATCAGGAGTCTTTCACTGCCATAGAGAAGGTAAATATTTTTTTTTTATGCATCATCTCATTAGAGATGATGCATTTATTTAGTAAAGTATCTAAATACTGTATTCATACAGTATTTAGTTTTAATAGATTTAAGTTTTTAATAGATTATGTATTGCATTTTATAAATGATAAATGATCATTTTTTTGTTGAAATTTGAAGATTATATAAGCTCTTGTATTATATTTTCAAATGTATTGGTAGAAAAAACTTTTATTATATGATTACCGAGTTGATTTTCTCTAGGGGGGGAGTCCCAATGGCTCTCTGAAGCTCTCTTGCTGAGGTTGCTCCATACTAAAAGGTCACATCAGTTATGGAAATTCTGATTGATCTACCAGGGACCAGAGCCTGGCCCCCCTCACAGAGGTGCACAGTGTGAATGACAATTTGCCACACCAATTGAAAAAAAACTCCAGAAAGTCAGAAAAGCTTTACACACAACTGGATGGTTCACAGAAAGCAAAACCTTGAAACTGTCCGAATAATTACACAAGAGATTTACTCAAAACTGGCTTGAAACTTGTTACTGTAGTTCCAATTATCACCCCCCAGGTTGCTTGATCCAAGCCCTCAACCAGCTCCCAAGCTCAGTTCCGTTGCTGAACTGGTGGAATATAGGTCTGCCTGTAGTGTTCTGGTTCACCAGTAATGGGCTAGCCCTGTTGCTTCAAGCTAAGTGCTGGCCATCCTTGTACTTTGTCCTGCAGGGGCCATTTGCTTGTTGTATTGTTCTTATTAAAAGAAAGCCAAGCCTGCTTGTGTAAGCTTGGTTTTCTTTGAACTTTGGGCTGCATGCACTCAGGGTTTTCTTCTCTGGGTGCCCACTAACACTGTCTTTGCACAATCATTTATCTTCTCTGGTGTGTCTGGGAGTTTCCCTGTAGTTCCTTGTCACCATGGTCTGGGGGATTTGCTTCGGTCCCTGTCTATTTAGAGCTGGGCACTGTGTGTGGCTCTTCTGCTGGGTTCTCCTTGCCATTCATCATGTTCTGGGGTATCCAACGTCACCCCAAGACTAAGACAGACACAGTCTGTCCCGGTTCCTTCCCATTTCCACAGAGTGGGGTGTCAATGCTGCCTCTCTTTTTTTTTTTTTTTTTTTTTTTAGCTTTGCAGGACATGTTCCTGGAATGTCCCATTTGCTGTTCTTCTCCATAGATAGTTCCAGGGAACCACAAGCTGCTCACCCCAGAAAACCAGTGTTGAATGTAATGAAAAGCCAATTTCTGGGTTAGCTCTTGTGGCTCCCTGACCTCTCTTTCCCTCCATGTTGTCACAGGGTTTTGTTACATCTGCCATAGAACTGAGGGTAATTTAGCTGGCTGACCATGAGCTACCTCCCCCCTTCCCCCAAATGAGTGGTGGAGGTAGGCCAACGAGCTTGCACTAGTTAAGAGAGATTTCGATAATTTGTTTACATAGAGGAGTTCTTTTTGCAGCTCTCAAGGCTAAAGTCTTTCTCTAAGTCAGTAAGTAATGGTCTGTTTTGTGTCACTGACTTTCTGGTTGCTTCCCCGATAATAGCATAAATAAATGCCAATGCTCCCTGCACCTCTGCAAGAGGGCCAGGTTTTTGCCCTGGTTCTCAGTAGACCTATAGAACTCTGCATCTGATGCAACCTAGTTGGCCCTGGTAGTTGGCACACTATCTGTGACAGTAGCTTCAGAGAGTCACTGGGACTCGGAAATAGGCGTATCATTACATTCAACGCTGTTTTTTTTTTGGGGGGGGGGGGGGGGGCGGGGGTCTAATGGGTTATGATAATGTAGGTGTCCATATACTGTACAATATAATTTTTATTTTCCTTTTTGGACCTTGGACCTTGATGGCCTTGAAATCTAGTGTCCAAAGCCAGTCATATCCGCTGTGCATAATGCCTGTATTGGTGCAGGAGTGGATCTGATTTGTTCAGCAGATATAAGATATTGCTCCTCTGATGCCTGGTTCCAAGTAAAGGAAGTTGATGTTGGTAAGTCATATGACACTGATATTTGATTTTTCATTTCAGTTATGAAAAGTGATAGTCTGACTTGCTCTCACATCCAAATAGAAGTTTTAATATTAAAATCTGAATGTCATTATTGCAATTTAAAGATGTATACCTTTATAAATGCTTGAAGATTTATTATTTTTTTAATTATATATATATATATATATATGTTGCCCATTATAAAGGCAACCCAAGGGTTAAGGAGCAAGGGAGAAAATGTATTATTTATTTATTTATATACAAGAAGGTACATTGGGTTTGTGAGAATACATAGCATAGTATTTACAATCTTATAAAGCCACTAGTACGCGCAGCGTTTCGGGCAGGTCCTTAATCTAACAGATAATTTTAAGTAGGTAAATTCTAGCAGAATTAATAAATGATAACAAATACATTGCAAGAAAAAAAATGAGATAAGAAGGTTGGGATGGATTAGGGAGATAGGTGAGAAGGTAATGTAAAGATGGGAGGATAGGTGTTAAAGGAAAGGTGAGGCAGCTGGGGAGAGGAAGAATAAGAGAACGAAGATGGTAAAGGATTTTAATAATTTATTTAATAATAGACAAAATATTAGTGATAAAGTAAATAATGTAATACACGCACACACAGCATGAGAATAACATAATTAGTAATAATGGTAAAGATTAATCCATATGCATTCTTACATTTATAATTGTTTACAATATGTAGTTTAGTCATTAGTCAGATTTCACATTACACCTACAGTATGCTATGAGGTAAAATTATTTGAATAAATTGATGTTTCTGACAGGCTTAGCAGCTGATGTTGGGACACTACAACGCCTCCCAAAGATCATAGGAAATCAAAGCCTTGTTCGTGAGTTATGTTTCTCAGCCAGGAAGTTCTTTTCTTCTGAGGCGCTCCAGTGTGGTTTTGTGTCAAGAGTTTTCGAAGACAAGGACAGGTAAGGGTTCTTTTCTGGGAGGATTTGAAAGTTGGCTCCTTGTTGCTGACTACCTGGAGAGCTCCACACAAGTCAGTCCTTGCCAAGCTCTTGAGTCATTGTAAGCATACTTGAGATCACAGGCCAAAATTCAGCAGTTCCAAATGCCAGCAGTTCTATGTATTATTATTCTGTTATTTAAAGCCATGAATTAAACTGGATAGATTTTGTTTCTAGTTTGGATATAGGGTTGTAAATTTATGGAACAGGTTGTTTTTTAATATCAATATAGGTTAGACAAATATAAATAGCCAATAGGCCTTCTGCAGTTTTGTAAGAAAGTAATTTTCCCTAATTTACCCCTCTTATTTACAGCTTGTTAGAAGCAGCTCTAGATATGGCCTCCACCATTGCCAGCAAGTCTCCTGTTGCTGTCCAAACTACAAAAATTGCCTTGGTGCATAGTAGGGACCATTCTGTCCAAGAAGGACTAGACAACCTTGTAAGTATCATTGTACACTTAGGTACTTCAACCCCCTTCCTCTCTGCCTACATGGAAAAAAAAAAAAAAGTTTGTCTCAATTTTAGCCCTTCAACTGCACTTGTTAACCAGAGTCCTTTCATCGGTAGTGTGTAAACCAGAGTTGGTTGTAGGTCTAGCATAAGATTTAAAATTTCCACGGATACACAAGGCTTATATCCACTTCCTCAGGCTTCCAGAAAATAGACATCATCTTGGGAAAAGTCATAGGCACCCCTCCTGGGTGTGAGGGCCTCGGTAGTAAGACAGCAACTATGGGTAACATGCAGCAACAGTACACAGCACCACACTGCTCATGCCCTGAGCATCACAATGATGAGGAAATAAATAAGTAGCTGTAATTATATATCAAAGATAGTGATGTAAAAGACCCTGATAGTGATACATATTACTGTAGGTACATGGTTCAGATATCAAGTTAAAGTACATTTATTGAGACAGTAAAATACATCTCAAAAGGATGGAGTAGCTTAGGCTATTTCTATCCTCCATTCAAATATCAGTAAACCAGAGGCTGGTCATGATTTTCCTAAAGCAAGGTAGACAACCAAAGCCACAGTTTTGTGCCTCTGCACATTATACAACAGGACCTCCATGTTCCTTTAGAAAATGCACATGTGAAAAAAAATTCATATTCAGGATTTAGTGGCCAGGATTCTGGCAAGCATTTTGGCTAGAGAAGTGACGTGTATAGTATATTGGACAGCACTTTGCTTTGTAAATTGCAATGGGCAAGCATGTGTTGGTTTGCTCTTCATAGATTAATGATTGCATGATTATTATTCTAGTTAGACCTGCTTAGTGGTTTGCAAGGTGCATAAATTTATATGTAATAGTCCAATTACTGTACTTGGATTGGATGATAGTGAAGCCCTAGCTTCTTACAGGTCAGCGTTCAATCCCTGACCGTAAGTAGCAGGGTACCATATCTTTCCTCGTTCCTATCCCTACTCCTTGTCCTCATATCCTCTCCAAATACTATATGGTTGTACTGGCTTAGCACTATCAAGATAGCACTTTCTCTTGATAATTATCTTACCTTGCATATAATGAGTACCTTAGATCATTGGAGTCAACTAGAGCCCAGGTGAATGGAATGTTTATTTCCATGGAAGTGTGGATGACAATTTACATATGGGACATGATTGCAACATACTGTGTAATACAGTAGTACAGTGTAACCTCTGTTTACGAGCTCAATTTCTTCATAAAATTTGATTCAGTTTACGAGCTTTGTCTTGAGTTGTGAGTTTGATGAAACACATGGGTCGACCGAGGGTGTGATTCCTGGTGGAACGGGCGACCGCACCTCAGTTTAACAGTGCCTCCCTCGTAATGACGATCGTCCTTGAATAATTCTTAAAGAATTTAGTTTTTTTCAGCTTTTTTGGTTTATAAACATTAAAGTAATTATTATACAGGGTATATCACACCATAGGCGCATCCGATCCCACGATCGTCGTCACCTACCAATTAAGTTGATTAGCAAACATTTTTTTTTTTCACAAACATGTTACTCATCTGTCTTTGTTGCTTTTGCAAATATTCCATGTTTCGTATCCTTTTATAAATTTTACTTTTTGCTTCTTTCCAGGCAAATATAAACATGACAATGTTACAAAGTGAAGATCTACGTATATCTGCAATGTCTCTAATGAGCAAGGGGAAGACCAAGGCAGTATTTGCAAAGCTCTAGAATAAATTGTCACATTTCTCTGAAAATTTTCTTGAAGAAAAGCCTCATTTTACACTGTTAGGGTTAAATAAATTGCTGTATATCTGTGAACATAACTTGTATACTCATGCATGTAAAGTTAGATTTGCATAATAATATTTTGCCTAATTTGCCCAAAGCATGAGTTAAGAGAAAATACACACTGGCAGAGCAATTACTGTCTTTAATGATGTGGTTGAGGTAATATCTGGATGGTCCCCTTATAAGATCTGCCCACATTGGGCTCTTGTATTTCATGAATTTTTTATTGAAAATGCAGAATGATTTTCAGAAATTCTCTGATCACTGCATTTCAGTATCTTCAAAACGTTTACGAATAATGCTAAAATGTGTCATTGGAATGTTAAGCTGCTCTCCCTATGGATCATCAAAGCATGCAGTCCTCCCTTACCATATAAACAGTGTAGAAGAAGTTTTTCAAGAAAGGGCTAGTTAAAGAGCATATAAGCACTTCGTCTGTTACCCACAACAGTATGTAATTTAAATGTCAAAAGACTGTTCACTGAGCATTAGGGATAACATGTTTTTATTATTACTTATAAGTATTAAATTTTTTAGTGATCTAGTAATGTAAAGTAACCAGTTACTGTAGGGGTAGTTTTTACCCCTACAGTAACCAGTTACTGTTTTTTGTAGGGGTTCAGAGATTCCATTTCAATCCTTTTGCATAGTTAGCCTTTGAGAAAATACATTTAAGAAATACATTTCTTAAATTTTTTACAGCCATTATTATATTTGTACAAAATTTTACCAGGGTCTTGCCAGTATACCTTAACATGTACATAGTTTGGTTATGGGTCATAGCATATGTTGTAAATAAAGAAAAAATGGGGGTAGTGTTGGGTAGGAGAATAACATTTATACCTACAAGATACCTTCAAATGCTTTTCAACTGGCAGCCCTTTTCTACTGTGCATGTCTCATTTACAATGAAACATGTATTTTATTAGTAGTACTGTACTATAGTATATAGTCCTATTTTAATACATTGTATATTGGGATTTTGTGGTTTTATATCTTAAGTGTTCCATATAAAAACTTGGTTGAAGAACTAGTTAACCAACTATATAAATCTAAGTGTGCTACAGAGGTGTACTAAAGATTAACTTAACTTTTTGGTGCAATACTCACCAAATTTAAATCAATTGCTCACCATTTCAATCCGTTGTTTTGCATTTTCATGTATGGATGCGAGTAGACTAAGGAGTACTTTGTAACTGGTTAAAATGGTATTCAAAATATTGGAGAGGACAGGAAATAGAGTAGACACCAGCAACATTGAAAACAAGATCCACATATTAGGGATCTCGTTTTCCTCCTTCGAACAAAGAAGGTCTGAAATAGGCAGACCAGCAGCAGATGACAAACTGACAACTTTCTCCAGAAAGAGGAGAGGAACAAGATGAAAGTTGAACCAAACCCCAAGTGTGATCAAAAGATTGTCCACTCGCTGGGAGACTCCAGAACCTCGATGCAACCAAAAAGGAGTTATGCCATGAACGAGGCATAACCCTGGGTATTTCAGGAGGTACGTGAAGAACACGTGCCTTCCAAGCCACTGAAGGAAGGTCCGGAGAGGAAGGAAGTCTCCAGAAATACAATCCCAATGGGCCCAATGGCGCAAGAAACTGAACCATGGGGGAGCCACACTCAAATCATACACTGTACATACAAATTTTACACTGAAGGAGGATACAAAAACCCTATCCCCTGCAAAAGGAGATCCTCCTCAATACGAAACAGGTCGACTAAGCTCGACTAACCCTTTGAGAGTCAAACAGTACCTATATCAGAGTCCCCACAGGGACCCCAGGCAGAGCCAGAGTCTGCACCCACTGTCCAGGATAGAAAAGCAATCCTTCAAAAGACGGGGGTGGGGGAATATAGTCACTTTAAATTGACAACTACCAGTTTTGTTTAATCAAATTCAAAAACATTATGGAACATGTAATAAGCTAAAAACTTTCATTACTGCATGACATTTTATATGGAGAAAAAAACTCTACCCTAAAGTAAAAAGTCTGGTAGCAAAGGTTTGGGTCCTTTGTTACAGAATGTGTTAAGGTGGATCTTCTAGGGAAAGTAGACTCGAGGGTCTGGTCACCACAAGTCTCATAGGGTGAAGATGAGACAGCCATAAATAACACACACACACACACTTCACTTCCCAAACCCACTAGAGCAAACAAAATAGAGGGCAATGCACCACATGAACCCTAGGAGTAGCAGGGATAGTGTATGCAAGCGACACTCCAAAAACCATCAGATGTGTTAACTCCTTGAGGCCCAGTTGACACTAGTCCAGCTGACTCGAGTATACTGTACCTGGAGAGGGTCTCAGGAGTTTTTCTACTCCCCGAGCCCGGCCTGGGGCCAGGCTAAACTTGTGACTGTTGGAACAGTCCAACAGGCTGTTACCTGGAACGGCTTGCATGCCTGTTTTGACACGGCAACACTCGACTACTAGTACTTTCACTTCTATGAGTTGCTCCTTTTTCCTTCCTCTGCAACCACAGCTTCTTGGGTGGAATTGACTTGCAGCTGGAGGCAACTGGGGAACACAAGGGTTAAGTAACCACTCACCAAACCACAATCTTTCACTTGGGTTATATACAGTCTTTAGAGGTCTTGGTCCACTTTTTATCAAATACTTGGGGGGGAATGACAGACCAAAGTCTTTGTTTTTGTTTAATAGCAGGTTACTCTATGCCCCTAAGTGGGGTTGGCCTCTCTTAAGCACCAAACCCAATCACAGCTTCAAAGCAACATGCAATTATCTTTCATTATTTAGTACCAATTAACATATGAAGATATGGTCTATATGAGGATCTTGTATAAAACACACCAAGAGAATAGTTACATATGATGCTATGACTTTCTGTGGTATTCACAAATGCCTTCAAAACAATATGAAGGTGAAATTTTTTTTAACTCAAAAGCCTGTTATTCTTAGATGTTAGTGAGCAATAATACTGGTGCCCAACTGGCAGCTGCATCAGCAGGAGTCAGCTTGATTAAATCTACTTTAATGACTATGACCCAAGATACTTTTGAGATTGTTTTACAGTTAAGACTTCATAGGCACTGCAATTGGAAGTTAAAATGGCATTTAAAAAAAAATTTAGTAAAATCACCACCATCCAATTTATCATACACCTTACCACATTGCTTTCTGTAAAGTACATTTAGTAAAATAAATTTTGTGGAGACTTCCAGTCCTCTTATGCACACACAAAACAAGATCACCACCTGTATTTACAAAATAAGGTGCTATATATATTAGGCCATATCATTTGCACAACACGGAAATTGATGAAACAAACCCAAACTCACACTCTACGTACATCACAACATTAAGACATTCATTCTTATCTGGTGTACAATAAACAGGTGAGTAATAATAACTGTCTGCATTTGCACTTTTTTCTGATGACTAACCACTACCTATACTTCATTTCTACTGGTAATTCAGCAATTCAGTTCTCAAAAAGAGTGCACAATTTTAAAGGTATAGATTTTAAAATACCACCTTGATACATTCCACATCCAATGTATGAGATGCCTATTATGTCCCTTTTTTTTATCAATTGTCCTCATTTTTTTCCACATTCTAAATTAAAGGCAAACTAGAAAGGAATGCAAAATCCTGGTAAGGATAAGCCTTTCCTTACAAAAAATATAGACTTCTGCCCAATATTATAGACAGCAGTGTATACTGCATATATTAAGAAACAAAGAGTTGTGTGTGTGCACATGAATACATGTGCAAGCATGTTTGTATATATGAGGTGTGATCAAAGTTGCCAAAATGAATACACAGTACTGTGTAAACGCAAAGCTGAGTGTCTCGTGGCTAGTCCCGCATGGAATACTGACTATCTCTCTACACAGCTGAATAGCAGGCAGGAGAGACTAGTCTTTATAGTGGTATGTGGAGTATTTTACAATCAAGGTTTGGTACATTATGAATTTCTTCCAAAAGGTCACACAAGCAACCATATTTTCTTTTGTACCATTTATCTGAAAACAAAAACTCAGGAAGACAGAGTGACCTTGTGAAAAAAATATAAAGATTGGGTGCATTGGGTCTTTACTGCAAAATGCAGCCTACACCACATCAATGACTGTCCTCTCCCACTTACAATGACTGACCAAGAAATAAACTAATGCAATACGCTAAAGAGGTGCTCAGTGATCACATACAAGACCTGCAATCAGATGCCTCCAATACTGCAAACTTTATTGCTTATGCATAATTCAACATATTCAATCTAGGAACTTTCAAAATCACACACACTAAATAAACATTGTGCAAATAGTATATCAAGAAGGTGGGTGGGTGAGGGAAAAGAATGGAGAGAGGAGGAGAAAACAACCACCTATGTGCAAGAACATCACATTTCTATCACCAACTGCTAAATATACTGTAATCGTGAAATAGATTTTAATTTTATTTAATAATGTGAATAATCTGTCAATGCCATTAAGTGAGCAACTAAGAGATACAGTATAGGCAAATGTTATGGAAAACTGTGCAAGCAATGAAGGCAGTGCTTGAATGATGCTCATCTAACCCATACATTCCTTGAACCATCTCATGCAAATTTTATACACTGGATTTACAGTAAACCAGTAAAATAACAAAGAGATTATCTAGTAACCTACACCTGTTTTGTTATATACCAGGAATCAATAATATAATGGTCATGTCAGAGTGACGTATTCTAATGTCAGGCTACTAAAAAATTTAATGGCTACTTAGCTAATTTCAAAATCATGCATTTGCTCGTGATCAAAACTACAGAGCGTACCACCAACTTCAGTTAACTGTAGTAATCTGATCTCTCTCAATAGTCATTAAACAACAAATTCCAAAACTGACCACCCAACAAATTTCTCTTCGTCCTCAACCTTCATCTAGAATAGACTATAAAAGGAGGACAAATGCCTAACTACAGATATTAAAGCTGTATTAATCTTGGATATAAATAATCAAAGCCAGGTGATATTTAAATGAATGTCCCAGTGCGGAATTTACTACAATGCTAATTTCACTTAGCCAACTACAAAAACAAACTCAAATTAATAATTCTTATGTAAGATTACATGCATTAAAACAAAATTGTATAGACGGGCCATTACAAAATGCTTAAGTGTTGGGACAAATTACCGGATCATAGACAGCTGATCTGGTAAGAAAATAATAAACATGTGTATATATATATATATATTAGTCTATATTCCTAGTCTCCATTTTTATAAATTCTATGAAAGCAGACCACATTGGTCCATTTTCTGCTCTTTAATATTGTCATAGAAATGTGGAGAGCCGATTGCCAACCATTTAGCAGTGCACAACAACCTGGCAGACCCTACAGTAAGGAAGAAGAGACGGGGGCTGGGGCCCCCAGGTTCTGTGTTGTCAAGTGCCCCTCACCCCATAAATGTGGGAAATGGCCCCAATGATATTTTTTGTTTTTCATTTTAGAACCCTGTGCACATGCAGAACATTCTTTACAGTGAATTCAAATATCCTTATCACTATACTGTATAAAGCAAATCTGAATCATTCAATATGTCAGACACGACAGTAGTTAATGAAAAAGTGTCATGATTGCTTTTCCACATCACCTTGTCGAGATACTTCCTGTTTGTGTTCTCAATAACCAAGAGAATAGATCTATGGCTGCCAACAAAATTTCCTATGAAGGGTAACTTTCTTTTATACTAATTAAAAATAAACATTCACTATTTTATATACTTCATTACATCATGTCTATCATTATTTCATCTTCAATACATACACTGAAGCAGATCACCATGCATACTGATCACAGCTCATTCTAGAGAACATTCACCAATGAAGACCAAGGCACATCATTTTGAAACAAAAAATACAATTCGATAATGATCACCTGTAAATAACTATCTAAATAAAATATGGAATGATGGTATCTACACAAAAATAATGCAATTAAAAAATGAGAATGTTAATGAGACAAGCAAAGCTCTGCAATATTAACAAGATACCATGATGATAATTTTCTTACAAACACCTGCCTGTGTTTTATTCCTTCGTCTGATCCCCCTTTACAGTCATTTTCTCCAGTTGTTTGGAAACATCATCTGCCGTCTTATCCTCAGCCTTAGACTTGTCAGTCGGGTCAGTTGTCTTCGTGTCCACTTCTTCCTTTAGCTCATCACTCCTCCTCTTCTCCTCATCCTCCTTTGTCTTAACCTCTGCCACAGTCACAATACCTCGAGCTTCATCAAATACTTCCTTAAAGAGTCGGGCATCTAGAAAGGGAAGTAGTATAGATTCAGTACACACTGTAATCTTTTTTACACCGACTTACCTCACGTAATTTTGTTTTAAAATAAAAGGATATGATTACAATCCACTTGATTATTTATCAGTCAAGGCAAAATTATGTAGGACTTACCATAGAGAGAAATTCTCCTATTACAGTACAGTACTGCACTATACTTCACTTTATTAATCTGGTTTCTTATTACAGTGTAAATTAGGATGTATATACAGTAGTGCTAATATTTTTGTATACTATATTGTATACTATATTATATATATTATATACTATATTATATATAGTATACTATACTGTATATACAGTACATCCAGAAGTGAGCTTCCCCCATTCAAACAGATTTTTACCACACCCTTCTACTGTAACCCACATTTACTATTTTGAGCAATACAGCACTGTAAAGACAATATTTTTTGTTATTCACTAAATTCCTGCAGAGTATTGACAAAATAAACACAGCTTTTCACATATTTACACACACACACACACACAGTTCAGCCACATGCTGCATGAGCAAGTGCTCCATCATTCCTTGGATAATGAGTTACAGGGTTGGTTATCTTGCCTTCTTATGTCTGCATCTTGTCTCGTTCACAGTCTTTGACCTTTTAGGTGATTGTAGGTTACATGCAAGGGTTAGGTTGCAGAGGAATAATTCTCTGCAACAAAACGTACAATTCTTATGAAACTTACTTTCTGCATTTGCAAATCTGATGGCAAAAAGTTCTTGCTTCGGTTCTTCATCAGCAAAATCTGCTACCACTGACCACACCCATGCTCGGTCACTGCCACAATTTGGCTTGAGTTCCATATAAGGTGTAATGTAATGGTTTGCACGAATTTTAAGAGTCTTGTCTTGTCGCATCAACAAGCGAACCTGATTGTACAGAATAAGCACATAAAAAAATTTAAATTATTTAAAATACAAACACTGTTCAGAAACAGGAAAAATCAAGACATCATATATGGTAACTAATTGTTTCCACCATAGTAGGACAACCTAGAAAGGCATCCACAGACTGACAACATAAGGGTATGAAAAGTGTGGTGAAATGAGAATAGGATGCAATGATTACAGGAAGTATAAGGAGTTTAGGTTATGATTATAGTAATTAAATGGTGGTAGTAGTGGGAGGGCAAAAAAAATAATTTGAATGGACAATTATAAAAAATATAAAATGTATAAATATACTATAGTAGATCAGTTCTAATGCCAAGCTTATGCTTTATGATCTCAACTGATGATTAAATTAGCCATGGCAACAACTCACAGTCTTCTTGTAGCCATTTTTCAAAATCTTTACATCCCCAGTGCCTCGTTCCTTCCACTCTGCAGGAGACTCGATAGTATGATAGCGGAAAAGCTTGCATCTCCTGGAAGAGAAAATAATAATTAACACACACACTACATTGTTTTATCTTCATTTTGTTCACCTTCTCCCCTAATAGTTACCCTCTTTCTGAATTAAAGAAAATAGGGTGAAGAGGTAACTAGAGATGAGAAGATATAACATGCTAATGGAAGGATGGTACCAAAAAAATCTTTGCAGCAGCAATTGGAGATAAAGCAGATCAGTTGTGTCAAGAGCCTGACGACTAAGTAGGTACCTGGTTGATGGGATTCTGGGAGTTCTTCTTCTCCCCAAGTCCGGCCCGAAACCAGGCTTGACTTGTGAGTTTGGTCCACTAGGCTGTTGCTTGGAGCGGCCTGCAGGCCCACATACCCAGCTCAGCCCGGTTGGTCCAGTACTCCTTGGAGGAAACGATCTAGGATCCTCTTTGAGAGGAACTTGAGTATTCTCTTTAGAATAGGCGGAAGAGGTACATAATAATGTACACATGGAAAATATTAGAGGGACTGGTCCCAAATCTGCACACAGAAATAACACCACATGAGACCAGAAGGCATGGCAGGATGTGCCAAATATCCTCATTGAAAAGCAGAGGTGAAATAGGTACGCTGAGAGAACTATCAACATCAGAGGCCCAAGACTATTCAACACACTTCCACCTCACATAAGGGGGCATAACTGGCCAATTCCTTACAGTGTTCAAGAAAACTTGATAAACACTTCCAAAGGATACCTGATCAACCAAGCTGTGATTAATGTCACAGGGCCACATTAATGTTGAAGACTGGGCCACTGGGACTTTGAACCCCGAAATCATCGCATGGTAACCGCAAGGAAAGGTAGCCAATGTGAAGACGAGTCAAAGCATTGTTTCTTCATACATAGGCCTAATATAAATACAGTACCTCACTTTATTTATTGCATTACAGCCCATCCACACAATCATCCAGACAAACACCAGCAGAGCTAAACATTGTAGTAGTCGATGCCTGTGTCAAGCAGGGGAGGAGGGAGGAGGGGGGGGGGAGGAATGCTCACGATGTGCCCAGCCAATATGGAAGGCAAGTCATGCGGATACAATTATGTTATGAGAATGTTGCCTATTGGTACTGAACGGAAAGTAGTCATAATATATACTGTATACCGTAGAGAAAAAAATACATGATTTACCAGTGAAATTCCCATTCAAACTAGTGATACAACTATCTGGCTGGATAATGTCACTCAAGGAACCTGACATATGGCACGTGTCATGTAGCCAACCAGCTACATATCTTGGATATTAAAATTAGTATAATGTATTACACCTAGTCATGTCTGTGGTATAATTTTAGAGACATCTCATTGTGAAATACATGATATCAGTGTTTGTGAAAATAATGTCACTTTAAATTGAACATAAATAACTTAGGTAGCCATTTACAGTGACTTTACTCGATATGCATTTCACTTTTTTTGTTATATTGAGGGACTTCCATTAACTGCATTTCAAGCTCTTCCATGAAATAGTCCTTGCATTCCGATTCTACAAAATAAAGACATTTATTTAACTTACAATTTAACCATTTCCTCCTCCTCTTCCTCATTAGTCTTTATTTGAATTTCCGGAAGTGTCACCACCGGCTCAAAATATGGGTCATGATCCCCTTCTGTGGCTGCTACAGCATCCTCAGACACATTACTGGTATTAGCAGCAGTCTCACCATCAGGGTCTGTCTGTTGAATTAATATTCACATGTACAGTATTTCATATGCAAAAATAGTATAGGATAAATTTAATTTTGATACAAGTTGCATCAAAACAAGAGAAATTGTGAGTTACGTTTGTATAATCCATATTAGGCTATGAAAAAACATCCTTGCTAGTCATTTCAATAGCAGCATTTCATTGAAAACGTATTTAAACTGGTTGAATGAAGCATCAAAGAAATGCAGAGATATCCTTATTATTGTCATATACTATTTTAATGGCAGCACACAACTATTTCTTGCACTTGTCAAAACCAGGCAACTGGTCCAGCATGAACAGCAGCCAAGACCTCATACTCAAACCAATAACCCATGTATGTTAAGAGGCCCTAAACATTTTTCAGTACAAGGAAAACAAGAAATGTGAATAAAGTTGCAGTACCAACATTTCAAAATCATGTTATTTAGGATGCAAAACTATTGGCTTCCACCCTAATTTATGACTGAACAAATACTGTATAAATTTTGCATCATTCACCTTTGCCAACACAATGTTTTAAAACAAGCAAAACAACCTTTTTTATAGATAACCTCCTTGCCATGCTAACCAGTTTACAGCCACCCCCAGAAATCCATAAAAGGGCTACCATCAACGATACCAATATTAAATGCATGTATCAAAGCACATCAATGTTTTATCAACATTAAGGGCCCAAGACTTTTCAACACTCCTGCTACATATAAGGAGCATAAGTGGCCAACACAGTGTTCAAGAAAGAACTTGACAAATGCCTCCAAAGAATGCCTGATCAACCAAGCTGTGATTCATACATCAGGCTGCAAGAAGCCGCATCCAGCAACCTGGTTGACTAGATGACCAACTGGGAGGCCTTCGACAGGGCCATGGGGCCATTGATCACCTGAAGCTACACAAGGTAGCCATGTACTGGCAATCAAAATCAGTACCTAGTATCCAAAAAGATTCCTGGAGACAGCCCCATGATGTCACATCTCACACTTACTGTAGTATAAACTATACATCTCAAAACAATAATTTATCTCATTTCCCAAGACTAGCCTAGGTTTGATTTGTTAACGAGCAGCAAAGGCTTAGAATGACTACTATTGGGGCTCTATTTGAACCCTACTCATCACAGTTCAAAACCAATATTTAGTAACTATACCTGCCTACACCACCACATGCAAATTATTAATAACAGTTTAAGTAATAACTAAATATATTTTGACTGTAGCTGAACAATGAGTGATTTACCGAGAGATTTCTCTGCAATTATAGTGGTGAGGAAAACAAACAATAAAACACTACACAAAATAACAAATACTGTTTTGATACAATAAGCTGTAGCCTACTCTTGCTCAAATGGGCTAATAGGATATGCCCTGCAGTTCAATCCCATACAGCGGTCTGTCTAATTACCCAAATGTGCTCAAAGCTACCCAAAGCTTCCTAGCCTTACGTAAGTAATGAAGAACTATGATATATTTACTATAATGTTGGTGTTGAATGTAGAACATGAAAAACATATTTTTACTCTGAAATAATATAATTTTATGATGAAATTAGACGAAACTAAATGGCAGGTGACGCCACAGGAAGTCGACGCTTCTAGCGACAATGTTGTGACCTTGGGTAATTGGATGGACCCAATTTTGCTATAAAATTACATTATTTCAGAGTAAATTTTTTTTTTCTCTTCTACATTCAGTACCAATAGTGAGTAAATATACTGTACCTGTATTATAGTTCTTCATTATTCACATAATGGTAGGAAGCTTTGTGTAGCTTTGGGTAATTGGATCGCCAAACAGCATGCCATTGCATCCGGTGCAGGCATGGGCTAAACCACACAGATAAATCACATTAACATGATATATCAATGAGAAAAATCAGTAGGAGCCGTAATGAGGATTCGAACTTAGGCTCAGGATACTCCCAAGCATATGTCGTAGACAACTAGACCACGACATGGTGAAAGTAATTGCAACTTGGGATTCTACTGAATCCACAAGGGTTCTTGAGGCTTCCGCTAAAGCCGAACCACGATTTCTGGACAACAGAGCCAGAATGCATTGGGGAATTGTGTGAAACCCTGGTTCGACTTCAGGGCAAATTCTACCAAGCAAATATTTTCATTTCAAGCTACCACTTGATGGATATTTATCTGACTAACTCTACAGACGTTTCACCTTTATCTTTAGTTTTGTCCATGCCCAAGCCTTCCTAAACCTTATTTTCAAAAGGTGATATTATCAGTGATGTTACGTTGCCAGAAAAATGCTCTTGCTAATATCAGGCTGAAAATGCCTGTTACATTATGTTATCTAGTATTCAACAGCACAGCACCATACAAGCCTATAACCAAAGGAGTACAATCAAATTATACACAGGCATTTCATCAAGGGTTGTTCTCTAATTGTAAAATCTGTTTGCAATGTTAGATTAGGCAGGGTAAGGCTGTGCTGAAATAAGAACATTTAGGTTGGTTAAGAAGTAAAATTTGGGAGCACAGCAGCAGGTTCACTAGCCCATTTTAGGTGGGTTCCATTTAAAATTCTTGAAACCTGTTCATGTCAAAAATACTAGCTGGCAGTCAATTGAACTTGTTCACTACCCAATTTTCAAACCACAGTACTTCCCTAATCTCTCTCCTAAAATTACACTTCTAAACCTTGTACAAATTGTTGTAGGTTCTGACCTGTCCCAAGAGGTCTACTTCCCTTGTCTATGCCTTTAACCCTTTTGAAATCCTTGATTATATTCTCCATTGTCTTGCATCTCTAGCAGCTGACACACTTTAATGTGAATTGCATCTGTATGCAAATAAATGAATGCACATTGATACATTCAAATGGTGCAACATCTATCAGTCATTATACAACATATCTACACTCCTTTAGTTAGGCAAGAGATTTAATGTTCACAATGTATACAATACGGTGAATTCTAAAAGGTTATGAACATATTCCTTACAACACCATAAAAGACAGGAAGCATACATCAATGTGTACAGTAAACAGTATTTGTCACTGGTGCGAAATCCTGGATTGTCCGAGGCATCTAGACAGTTTTTTAACACTTCCCTTTAGCTAGCTACACACGTCAGGACAGGTGCGGCAGGCGAAGGCTGTCACCGTCAGCTTAGACAAGTTAGAAACGAGTTTGATATCAATGGACAAAGCTGCACCAGTGAACACAGGGCTAGTAAGTCACCTGTGACAAACTACAATACTGTCATTTTAAAATGTTGTCTACATGTGCTTTAATAAATTATCTATTTGACTTTTAAAATAGCTATCCTCTAATCCAAACTTCTCCACATATGGTAAGCCAGCGGCTTAAAAGGTACACTTTCAATACCTTGCCTAAGTTTTCCATGGAATTTCCTTTAAAAACACAAAATGAGAAAATAAACGTCTCTCACGTCCTGACACCCAGAGTCTTTCACCATGTGAAAGTCATGTTAAAAATAAGAGACCAGTGTGGGCGAGGTGTGTGAGGTGTGGGCGAGGTGTGTGGGGTGTGGGCGAGGTGTGGGAGGTGTGGGCGAGGTGTGTGGCGTGTGGGCGAGGTGTGGGAGGTGTGGGCGAGGTGTGTGGGGTGTGGGCGAGGTGTGTGGGGTGTGGGCGAGGTGTGTGGGGTGTGGGCGAGGTGTGGGAGGTGTGTGGGAGGTGTGGGCGAGGTGTGTGGGGTGTGGGCGAGGTGTGGGAGGTGTGGGCGATGTGTGTGGGGTGTGGGCGAGGTGTGGGAGGTGTGGGCGAGGTGTGTGGGGTGTGTGGGGTGTGGGCGAGGTGTGGGCGAGGTGTGGGCGAGGTGTGTGGGGTGTGGGCGAGGTGTGGGAGGTGTGGGCGAGGTGTGTGGGGTGTGGGCGAGGTGTGGTGATCAGCGAGCATAGCGGTCAAGGCCATGTTGGTGCCGTCTCTTCCCCCACAAACTCGCCACCGACGGCAGGTTTACCCCCCGTCAGGCAGCCCTCACGCCCCTCCACACACTTCACCACCACCTCCCACCATTCTACACTACGTACCATCCCTCCCGGGTTAATTTAGCGACGGTGAGCGGTTATGTCACTGATTTCTCACGTCGTAGGAGGATCATTCATAAGTTGAGCTTTTCCCGCCCAAACACATCCATTAGAGGAAGAATATGGGTTTGCTAAATCCACCTCTGTAGTCTAATCCAGGCGTGGATTACTCCGATACTTTACTATAAACTAGATTGAATTACTGGACCGTGTGAGTGTGTGATTCAAACCTTCTCAGGAGCCATGGCGACGTCGATGATTGAAGATATTCCCAGCGCTGCCTTCTGCTCCTACGTTAAATTTTGTAAACAAACAAGTAGTTATTAAGCTGGACAATAGATGGCGTGCTGACTACGGTAGTAAGTCGTGGCTAGGTCAACACTTAAAATAAAATAAAATAAAATGTTTATTCAGGTAAGGTACATACATACAAGAGATTTTACATAATTTGATCGATTTATAGATGGAGCTAGTACATACAATGCCTAAAGCCACTATTACGCAAAGCGTTTCGTGCAGGAAAAACATTAATGACTAAAACTTAATACTAATTGGTGTGGAACTTGGTGTGGTCGCTGCCACCCAAGTCTGCCAGTCACACATCAAATTATCAAGCTAGTCTCAGTGTGTAAAATTAATGCTACCCATGTATATCTTGCATAAAATAAAGATGAGCCATTGTAAGTTATGTAGAAATCCTCTATTTATAAAAGTTATTGTCTCGTTTATCAAATAATTAAATGTTTTTATCGTTGTTTTATTGACAAACTTAGGTATACACAGCAATGTGCTGCTACCCTATTATATATAAAGGAGTACAGAGTGTAGATAAAAAACTAGCTACAAATTCATCTAATACAGGATGGTTAGTCATACTGTACATGGAATCAGGAGAGAACATGAAATGCGATGCTGGTCTATTAGCCTTCACTAACAAAATCTGGGTAGAGCACAAAAATATCTTCCAATATTCTTGAGAGTGGAAACTTCCGAAACCCTCTCAAGGTATGCTCCAGGTAAGCAGTTGAGGAGCTCAAAGTATGCTCCAGGTAAGCAGTTGAGGAGCTCAAAGTATGCTCCAGGTAAGCAGTTGAGGAGCTCAAAGTATGCTCCAGGTAAGCAGTTGAGGAGCTCAAAGTACCTCATATGATTCTGACCTTATCCATAGATAACATTCATTGTTATTAGTCTATTAGTCATTATTGAGAGGCGGGACCAAAGAGCCGAACCTCAACCCCCGCAAACACAACTAAGTGAGTACAAGTTATATAACAAAGGGTGCTGGATGACGGGACACCAAGAGCGTAGCTCTCATCCTGTAACTACACTTAGATAATTACAAGGCAATTTATCGCATCGCATCAGGCTTGGATACCCAAGTGCATGGGAAATAGGTTTACCGATTCCGGAAGATGAGAGGAAATGTCAGCACTGTGGAGAAATGCCCAACAGACCACTGGAACATTATCTAACACAGTGCAGTTACAAACCCATTAAGATTTCAACTGAGATTCAACAGAGCAGAAGTTGTTAAACACATGGGACGAAATCTTACTGAAGCGACCATACGAGTAAATAATACTCCGCCCAAGTAAAACAGAAACAAGCAACACTTAGTGGGCCAGCCAGAGGCTTAGGGCCCGCGCAGGATTATCCCTGCAAAAAAAGACAATCGCAGATATAGTGTTGGAGAGTATGTCCCAGCAAATGTTCACAAATGGAATATTCACCATTGGAATTCATTACCTGCAGCCAGATATCGATATTCCTGCCTAATTCTGACAATTACAATGCCACTTCAAATATCTGTCTGTCTGTCTCTCTCTCTCTCTCTGATGATTGGGAGGTTCTGGAGGCCCCAAACCGGAGCGCAACTAGGGTTTTACAGTCGACTGGACCACACTGGCCTACGGTATGTTATCACAATGGCGTGATATATCAATAAAAATAATTTTGAGGCAATGGAGTGACTCGAACCTGTGTTCTGGTGAATCGATCCCAGACACCTGTTCTAACCGACTCTGGGAAGCATGCAGTCATTGAAGCAGACAGGCAGGCAGGTAGGAAAGCAAGCAGAAAGGCGGATAGACAAGCAGACAGACAGGCAGGCAATCAGACAGGGATAGCCAGAGAGAGCACCAGAGAGAGCACCAGACACACACACACACACAGCCTCAGAGAGAGAGAGCGAGACAACAATGCTCCATGTCATCTAGGCTGCGCGAACTAGGGATCATAACCAACCAAGGCTAAATAAAACAAGGGAGGTGAGCAGACAGCTCAGTGTCTCGCGCGAGCGCTTGGCGCCTATCATAATACTGTACATATTGTCGCTGACGACGAGTGACACCCCATGAAATCCGCTGCAGGAATGTCCTCACTATATACTATTTTCAACCAGAAAATTCAAAGTTTTTCTTCACTGAAAAAATTCAAAGCCACCCAAGGTGGCTGAAAATTTAAAGCCACCCAAGAGGTGGCACGGGCATGAATAACCCGTAAATATATACTTACTGTACTGTACTTACCCCATACTGCCCGAAACGCTTTGCGTAATAGTGGCTTTAGGCATTGTATGTACTAGCTCTATCTATTAATCCAACAAACTTTGTAAAATCTTTTGTATGTGTGTACCTTACCTAAATAAACATTTATTTATTTATTTATATACATAAATTTCGATGCCTATTTATAGCCTACGTATTTACAGTTGGCTTATATCTCGACTCATATTCGGGGAATCTCGGGTTCGATTTGCATCATGAGAGATCATGACTGAGGACTTTAGAAACGTTTTCCGGGAAAAGGTAAGTCACCTGACCGTGACGGCGCCAATTATCGGATTAATCCTTTGTAATCCCAACTGCGGGTCAAAGGTAGAGACTCCCGAGAGGGTCCCATCCCATCTGGTCCAGCCCTAGTTAAGACAAGAACGCAAAAATAAAGGAAATTCAAAATTCTAATAGTCTCATTTTGTGAAACCAAGTATGAGGCTTCCCTAAGTATTATTAATGATATTATCAATGAAGGATGTTTAAAATTTTAATTTAATTAAATACTATGAAGAGTAGCAAAGTGGCAACCTCCAGGACTGTGTAGGTGTGACATGAAAGTGTCGGGAGGAAGATACACTTAGCTAAGGCTCTCAACAACAGCCTAACACCCTTCTTTCCTGCTGGCTGGAAAGGTAATGTCTGGCTCAGAATTTTGGCTAACCCAGTTTTGTTTTTGTTTCACCAGTATATTATTATTGTTGTTTCTGGTGTGTAAGTCTTGTAGTGTGGTTTCAGTAACCCATTTATTTTTATCTCAGGGTTAAGAGTAACCCATTTACTTTACATCTCAGGGTTTATGAAATTTAATTTTATTCAGGTATATCGACTGGCTTAAATGCCGCGCCTGTGCCTGGCCTGATATTATCGGGGATATTTTGACCTTATAAGAACTATTACACATTAAGAGAGCAGGGTGAGAAATTAAAGTTTACATAATTACTGTATTAGCATCAGGGTAAGATGATGACAGTGAGAAATTATGTGGATAGTTGTACTTTTAGGTAGTAAGGTACTTGGTGAGTTAGTACTATTGTGACGTAATTAGCTATTTCATTGTAGCAGAAACCAAGTCGGGGCATGAGTCAGGTAGCAGGAACTCCACCGGGGCATGGGGCCAAGTAGCAGGAACTCCACCGGGGCATGGGGCCAAGTAGCAGGAACTCCACCGGAGCAAGTAGCAGGAACTCCACCGGAGCAAGTAGCAGGAACTCCACCGGAGCAAGTAGCAGGAACTCCACCGGGGCATGGGGCCAAGTAGCAGGAACTCCACCGGAGCAAGTAGCAGGAACTCCACCGGAGCAAGTAGCAGGAACTCCACCGGAGCAAGTAGCAGGAACTCTACCGGGGGATTAAATAAACTAATCAGGTGAGGAGCGTCACCCTATACCGAGGAGTGTGGTAGTCACCCTCCCGGGACACTCCTCGCCCCTCCGCTTGCATCACTCACACTCATCCTGAATACTGATTTGACTCATCGCCAATGCTCTACCATGCCTTGGCGAACACCCTCTCTCTCTCCCCCCCGGCACTAAACCACATCATTCCTCCGCACAGCAACACACACACACAATCAAGTTGCCATTAATCACACTCGTCAGGAAAAGGATTAAGTGAGTTTCCCTCATCATCTGCGTCACCTGCATGTTCCCGGCGGCTGGCGAAACAAAGTTAAATTGAACACGAATGATAGTGGGAAGAGTTACACCAGAGGTGAGAATCTCGTTTTCTGAGGTTCAGCACGGTAGGCTCGATCAGATTCAGTGTGTGTGTGTCAGTGGTCTGAGGTGGTTGTGTGCCGGTGCTGCTCCGCTGGTCGCGACTTGAACCAACTGCTCTCCTTAGCAGTCTTGAAGAAAAAGTTCCCATGATTTTGCTGGATACAATATAACCTGGTACTTGGATTAATTGATATCGCTTATTACAGCTGTGTCACTAGGTGAGTACCCCTGTATCTTGTCTAAATGTTTTTTTTAATTATGTAGGGATATTAAAATTATATATTATATATATATATATATATATATATATATATATATATATATATATATATATATATATATATATATATATATATATATATATATATATATATGTATATCACGAAAATAAACACGTGATTAAGAATGTGACAATGTCAGACCACGGAGGAAAATGAAACAGGAATTTCCTTAAGTACTTTCGTATATTAAATACATCTTCAGAAGGAATAAATACATCTTCATTCCTTCTGAAGATGTATTTAATATACGAAAGTACTTAAGGAAATTCCTGTTTCATTTTCCTCCGTGGTCTGACATTGTCATATATATATATATATATATATATATATATATATATATATATATATATATATATATATATATATATATATATATATATATATATATATATATATATTAATTTATTATACCAACAAATGTATACACTGATGGGTGTACCCATCTCGGTGTATATACTTTGAGTTTACCTCCACCGTTGACTATGGTAATTCAGGACTAAAGTATACTTGCTGGTAAATCTCAGAATGGAAGTGAGTAAAAGTTAATCGCATTGTTAAGTAAAGCTCGCTGGCATTACCGGCCTCTGACCTGTGCACTGTTGCTCGTTGCTTCAACAGGCCAAGTAACGCTAGTGGCTACTGTTGCTTATCATGTTTCAAGTAACGTTAGCGGCTACAATTGTGCTTTGGTTTAACAGGATGCAAGTAATGTTAGTGGTGGCCGTGAGCTATGGTTTATCTCTCGTATCTCCAATATATCCGGCCGTCAGTACCCTCTTAACCTTACTGGTGCCCGTGCCACCTCTTGGGTGGCTTAATCTTCATCTTAAC